CAAAGAGAGCCGTGCCTGGCGGTACTGCAATACCAGGACAACTCGTGGTCGACTTGGAGCAAGCTCCAAAAATCCACCTTTTTCCAAAAATCAGTTTAATATTCTGGCACTCCAATGGAGTGCGTATCAGATATTAAGCTGATAAGAACAGATACTACACTTTGATCTTAGCTCAATGAGCCGAGAAGCGATACTTTCCAGTTGTTTTCGATTCGATTTAACACGTTTGAAACCATATTCGACTTGGAGAAAAAATGCGACATCTGTGACGGAGATCCGAACTTCGACTTTTCGAATTTCACCGGGAAGCACTCCCCCCACTGGCTCTTGCCGAGCCTCTTCTCTTCGCATTCTTTATTCGTTTAAATAAACGATTCAGTTAGATTTCATTTTGAAAATACTGAAAATTGAAAAAAAAAACGAAAAAAAAAATTTTTTTTTCGAAAAAAATTTTTAAAAAATCGAAAAAAAAAAAATTTTCCCCCCACTTTATTCATTAAGTTTGACATTTCGCATCAGCTACTTTTTACATTCACTATCGAAATTATTTACAGGGAGCGTTCGGTCTATCACCGCGATTGCCATTAAAAAATGGAAAATTTCGCAATTTATTGCCTAAAAAACCCAACATTTCTGTAAAAATTTTTTCTGAACATCCAAAATCGTAGGGAGTACCAGGTAATTCCTACTGGTCGTAGGGCATACCGGGTTCTTTCTACGATCAACAGATGTCGTGAGGACCATGATTTTTGTAAGAATCAAAAACACCCGCCATGCAGACCGGTGGTGGGGAGTCCATAAGTTCAAGATGGCGTGTACTGTCAAAGTATTTTGACTTCTCCACCGTCACCCATTCGCATGCGGGTGGGAAAAAAAAAATCGATAGTTTTTATGGCCCCCAGTCATTCCCGTCGAAGGGATGAGAGTTCTAACGTTTAAGGTTAGGGTTAGTGGACTCTGACAACCGGTCCGACGTGCCACACTCATGCAAACAGTCCTCCAAAACGCCGCATTTAACAACTCCCCCGTAATGTATATCACACTATGGCTTCCCTCGTGTCGTGCAGTGTAAACAGTGTAATTACAGAAAAATAGATCACGAGCGATAATTCCATAGAGATCTAAAAAGTCCTCCAAGAGTCCCTAAAACAATCACTCATTATCGCAGACTATTTGCTCAACCAATGACCATCAAACCATCAACCCATCAAAAAGGTCCTCGATCTCTTTCCCGGAGTAGCCAAAAATAGTCACATAATCGTTCTTTGTTTCCCTCTGAAATATCACAGTGAAATATTCAAAGGGAGTGCATCATAAAATGAGACATTAACCCTTGATCCGGAAAAAAAGCGTGAAAAAAGGGGGACAAGTGCAAGAGAGACTCAATTCGCTGTGGATGGATTCGATGGTATGGCTGATACAGAGGACACCTAAAGGATGTCACAGACAGCAGATGCTGAGAGTGAGGCGGGCTCCATTTGCGACGAGGAGAGAGTGAGAAAACTCTTTCAGGCCTGCGACGGAGACGGGGATGGTTTCATCGATAGGTAAGACAAACTAAAAAGCTCCCGTTAATAAAAAAAAAAAAAATGTCTCGATAATAAATCAACCGTCATACCATCATAAAAATGCAATGGATGATGCGAGGAATGGGAAACTCATTGGGAATTCAATCCTCGCTCTGGATTCCAAGGAAACTTGGTAAGTTGGGATCCAGGCCAATTAGGTGAATGGTCAAGTACTTTGAGAGGGAGAAACTGAGTCTTAATTCACTCAGTTTATTTTTAGGTTTCTCTACCTGGTGAATTTTGACAGTGGAAAGGGCGAGGGCATTCAGACAAACTCGGATTTGTACAGTATTTTGTGGGCTGGGTAATGAGATAATGTTAGGGTCGCCTGGAGGATAAAACGACAGGTTACAGCATCCGGTATTCGCCACTGTTTCTCCTCTGTCTCTGTTTTGTAAAGGGGCTGCTCATGCGTGCGTCCGCACACGCCGGCTATTGACATTTCAAAATACCCTGCGTCTTGCTTTCACCCTAATGTGCCTCCAGACTTTTTAATTTTTGAGCAAACGTCGTTGCTCTTTTAATAAACTTCCGGGGAATTGTTCTTTCAATCAATCAGAGGGGAATTTTTACTTCTCGTGGAATTAGCACTCGACTACTCGTGGATTCTTTTCAAATTTGTTCAATTGTTCAATTTCAGTTTAATTTTATTTTATGTGGAAATTTATGGACATTTTCAATGGACGTTCTTGCGCTTTTCGTTGATTTCGTAGCGAATGAGTAGTAGATTTGATAAAATATCTGAGGAACACCATTTTTTCTCCCGATTATTCTGAGCAGCTGCTTGTACATAATCCTTGACTATGTGTATTGGGGTTGCGGCACCCAAAGACGAAGGGTGGACCAGTTTTTATGGCCAATGAGTCACGCAATGTCTCCGGTTCCCCTCTGCAGTATCAGAAGAATCCAGTTTTTTTTTTTTCATCATCCACTCGAGTCTCTGTATATGCCACTGACTTTGAAGTCAACTCGGTGCTAGAGTTTTGAATTTAACATCATGGGAGTAAGAAGAGCCGGAAGTTCTCTTATTTATGTGCAAACGAGCAAAAATTTATTTCATCTCTGGAATAGTCAAAAGATTTACAGGAAGGAAATTGATTTTGAAAAAAAAATGCCGTCGCTTTGGGCTTCGCGTCTTTATTGAAACCTCCATTCGATAATTCAGAACGATATATTCAAATTCTTCTTTAATCTTCGAAAACACCTTCCCCATCCCAGAGGAGAGTATCGGTTTCTCATCCCCAACACACACGAGTAAACTCACCATTGTTACCTCCTTTGACTCCACATCCTCAGACTAGATTTTCTCTCATCACTCCATACGTACCACACGTCTCGAAAAATTTCCCAAAACCGCGGCATTCAGCACAATTGCCCATCGCAAAGAGATACCTGAAACTGAACTGAAATCCCTCAGTAAACAAATACCTGCGTAACAAAACCAAAAGTAAATATCCACAAATGCGTAATTAAAATCGCGAATGAGGGTGCATGAAAGCGATTTTTTAGATGCCTTGATCAAGGGGAAAAAAGTGGCACAAAGAGTACAAACGTTGAAGTGAAAAGGCGGAAAATGTTCGGTTACACACGGACAGAGTAAGCGTTGGTGGTACTCGAACGTTGATTTTTTTTTTTTTTTTTCATTCACAAAAGCACGTTTCCCATACCGCAGTGAAAGTTTCGTCTCTGGGCTGTTCCTCTCTCGTTTTGCCTCTTTTATCGGGAAGCCCTCGTTGGTGGTTGGCACGCACAATACATCCGGAGACCCGATGAGTGGTGCATTGTTAACGGTGTAAAACTGCCGGCGTCGACAACCCCATCCCTCCACCTCATCCGATCAGTTCTCCAGCTCTTGTATTTTTTTTATGATGACTCTTCTTTTTCTATCAATTTCTCTCTTGAACTGGAAAACCTTCGGGGATGGGGCTAAAAAATTCCCATTGGGTACCGAGCCCTTGCCTTTAATCTATCATTCATCCAATTTATTCAGATCATTGCAATGCCAACAATTTCAATAATTCAATTACTCCTCTTGTTAATTCATCATCGGGAATTTTCCATTTTTTACAATTGAATGCAACTGTTCTCTTCTTTTTTTACAAATATATGAATCGAATGATTTGAAAAAAAAAACATTTCGAGATAATTTTTTTCATTCGGCGACTGCTTTCGAAGTGTGAACACACCTCAATAAAATATAATTCAAATGCTCTTTCATAAACATTTCATTTATTTATTAATCTGGCTTCCAATGAAATCAACATCTCATTTTTTGTCAGTTTTAATTAATTGGACCTCGTGTCATTATAATTTCATTAATATAAGTAATTGAATTATTTATCTTTGTTGTGAATAATTGCGGTGCGTTGGCGATTTAATGATTGAATTTAATTTCTATTGCTGAACCGAATTATTTCGTAATTCAAAGGAGAATCTAAATAATTAATACCACATTCAATCAGTTCTCCCGCCAGTCCTCTTAATTATTCAAAAATGTGATTAAAACACATACAATTAAACGCTCAATAGTTTCAATAATTCACGCATTTTCTGTCATTATATTGAATAACTTTCCTGACAAATGAATAAATTCGCGAGCCGATGGGATGCCCATAATTTTCCCCTGATAAATGCATTTGTAACTTCGAGAAATGCTTGCACGATCGATACGATACGATAAACCAATTCCGAATGCTGATAATCCAGTTTCATAACGGTCGAAAGATAAATGATGAAACGCACCCGCAATGACACGATCGAGTGAAAGAAATAAAACTATCCATTGCATTAGCGACTTTAGAGGAACAAGTTGGAGTCTGGGTAAAACGTTTAGCTTTCCCACGGAGTTGCAATGGCTGTTGGTAATTTCCACGAGTTTTTCCCTCAAAAGTGCGAAATAAATTCAGTGATACGGGGTACGTTGAACTGTACGGGTATAAAATAACGTGCGTTGGAGACAGTAGCATTTAAACGCCATCGAGTAGATTGAATAATCGATAGCAGGCTTTCAGGGGAATTGATAAATTTATGGTTGTGAGTGATAATTGAAACCCCAAACAGAATGGAATCTGTGATCAAGTCATGGGAGATCAGGATCATTGACCGATTTAATCATCGCAGACACAAGTGGATGGAAAAAAAATGGTGAATGAAATTATTTTAGCAAAATCGATATGAAACGAGAATCGCTTGAAAATGTAATGGAGACTGATGGAGACTGTAATGCAAACTCATACCCGGGGATTTCATCGATTTATCGATATATTTTAAAACTATTATAAATTCCACGGTAATTAGGGGAGTGACGTTTAATTCTCAACCGTCAAGCTACCGGCGACACCATTGTCACACAGCAGATGAAGATACGACAGGTCTTGCCTGTCCTTTCCTCTGTCCCTGCCCATTCCCTCCACTCCCTTCAGCATCAGCCTTCATCTGCTCCTCGACGCTTTCATCAGAGACACCCGGGTATTAAGAGAAGCTCCTTTGATGTTGCCTCTCCTTTTTTTTTCATGATCAGACATCAAACTGTCGTCGCATCACCGACATAAAAAAAATAATCCTCCAACTTAATTTCTACATTGTTGAGATGAATTGTTTAATTCTGTTTTGAGATTTCAGTGACGAGAGAAATGAATTATCTGGATTTTTAATGGGTGCCGGGTAATTCCTTTAATCTGTCATATCGTCGAGAGGTTTTTCGTTTGGTCCATGGATTTTAATCATTCGGAATACCGCATGATTAAAAATCCTGTCATTTTTATTTATTTATTTTCACCTTTTATGTGACGAGTGAGAAATTCATATTTACAGTGAAATCCAGCAATGACTTGTTTCTCCAGTTACGCGTGTTGGATGTAGGCGTTTGGCGGGTGTGAAGAGTTTACACACGAATTACGTCGTCGTAGCATTGATTGCATCGCGTTAATCACGTCGACGCTTGGATTTTAACGATCGTCCCTCTTTCCACACCCCACTTCACTCTCTAACTCTTTTTTGTCCCTCGTTTTCGTCTCTCACTCTGTCTGAATGCAGACGATTTTAACTCGTCGAGTAATCATCGTCAATAACCTGGGACTGGAGTCAATGTCATGTGTTGACCGGAAAATTATCGGAATTTGGCTGATATATTTCAGGAAGTCGACCCGGGATTTCACTGGCAAGCTGAAAAATTTTCAAATTCATCAAAGGAATGTATCCGATCGGTAATCCCATCTAGAATATATTTTTACAATCATGAAGACAAGAAAATAGAGGAATGAATGAGCTCAGAGGATCGGTTCTCAGTTGACTCCATTCTTCTGCTGATTTGCCTACTCCATGCTAAATCCCACTTTCCGTTCAAATACTTTTTTTCCTTCAACTCTTCTGTTCATCCCTGTAGACCCTGTTGAGTAGTAGAATTCCATTTTCCCCTTTAACACAAACGTCTCTTTGTGCTCCACGTGCGCAAGACTCAGCCCATCCAGGGACTGCGTTCGATACTTTTTGATATCTCCATTCCGACGAACCATCGAAGGTTGAGATAGCAAATACTGGAGTTGAGTGACATGAATTGTTTGAAGGAGTATTAGGACCACAATACGACAGTTCTGGGGGCACAAAAGGGTTTTATTTTTTAAAATGATGCAGAGGGCTAAATTTTAGGCACTCCATCTCGTATCTTTATAGTCTTTCATGGAAAAGTGGAGTCTCAATTTGGCAGTTAAGGCTCTTACGCTTCGCTGCTTGTTCTTGACTGTTTACCCTTTCTACCATCCACTACACTTCTCATTCTAACAAGGTCCAACGAATATACCATGCAATTGCACTCGTGCACAGCGTCATTCTGAAGCACGTACCCTAACTCACCCCCCGATGTGTTCAACGTGGGTATTTTTTCGAATTAAAGTCAAGTTGTCATGCCTCGTTACACGTGTCTGATAAATCTCTGACTCCAGCCATGATTATTTAGTAATTATCATGGCCATTGGGTGACTTGGAAAAATTCTCAGTCAATAATCCATTATTTAAAAAAATTGTATTCTGTGACTCGTGATTGATGTGCCATAAATTCATCCTCACACCCTCAGATATCCTCACATATCCTCACATATTTTGGCTCTCATCTGACCTCAATGGTTGAATTTTTGAGTGAATTATTAAATTACGGGTTTGGAATGAATTTGGAGAAAATGGAAATAATTCTTGAAATATTGACATCATTGAACTCAATGCGCGCCTCCATTTCTAGTTAATCTAAATACTGGTCTTACCGTTGTTGCAATTGATTAATTGACTTCGGCTATTCTGGGAGAGGAGTATCAAGTTAATTGGTGAAATTATTTTATCAGTTTTTCATGAAAATCTCTCGCGACGCCGGCCCGTGAATTTTTAATATAAACTCGACGTGAAACCCGTCACATCCAGCATTCCCAGATAGCAGGTAGGATTGACGTCTAGCCCTTTCGGTTTATCAAGTCATGCATTAAAAATTTCACACTCCTCACGGTGCGGTTAGCAACATCTATTTCCACTCTGGAATTAAAAACTTTGGGGCTTGGAAAATGTCGAATTAAATTAGTTTTATTGAGTTATTATCAGTTATCCCCAGTTCCTCGTATTCTCCGTGACATTGCACTCTGTGAATGTATTATTTGATCCAGCATTAATTTTCAATCTTCGATTGGCATTTGAAAAAATAAAATCAACTGTCCATATTTGCATATCAAAAAAAATATATGGATAAATGTAGAAGGTGGAGTTCAGTATATACTATCATTTTTAATGATATTTTTAATTATGCAATTCGTGTTAAACTCCTTTAATTAAATTCTCATGGACATTTTCCTCATTTAAAATTCTGGATTTTCATCTGTTGTGTTATAGTCAGGACCTGTTGACTGTTTGCCGCGAGCTGAACCTCGAGAATTCCGTGGAGGAGTTGATGAGAGAACTTGGTGCTGATGAAAATGGCCGTATATCCTATCAGGAGTTTCTCAGACGGCGTCTGGCATTGAGACCGGAAATCGAAGCACTGAGATCGGGAAAGAGCAGGACGAGTCCTCATCACACCCACACACCAGAGTATTTACCAACCAGCAGTGACAACAGTCTCGGTACAGCACCAAACATTTTCCACGTTTTTTTTTTACTCTACCTCCTCCCGTCGTTTTCGTCATTTTTTTTATTACCTCAGTTTCTCTTATTGCATCAACGGATCCCAGGAAAATTGACTTCCTACGCCCTTCGGTTTCACCTTTTTTCCCTCCGTCGAGACAAATGTAATTCCCCGTGGGTTCAAGAGAGATGGGGGAGTTGATGAGAAATTTCAGCTTTCCTTTGTCGAAGCATTTTTTATGCCAACAAATTTCGGCGATTTTTTATTATCTTTATTATTACTCCAACGTAAACTATCGAGAATATCAATGACACGATTGAAGTGAATCGGATTAAATGTTAAAATAATGATGTTTCGTGTCACCAGGAACGGTTTCGGGACGCCATGAGAGTTGGGAATTCGACAGTGGAGCACGTGATTTGTCACCAGAGCCTCACACCCTCCAAAAACTCGTGGAGGCAGCAGCTGGAGGAACTGGAAACATGCTCGACCTCGCCAACAAGGTAAATACTCTTTAAAAATTTTTGCATAACCAAAACAAATACTTGCCCCACACGAAAAACGTGAGAAATCATAACTCTTGGTTATTTCGAGACGAGAAAAAATGGTTTTCCACTCCGAAGGTGTGATTATTCACCTGAACCCATCGCCGCAATACTTTCCTGCTTCAATGTTATCTCAAGAGGGTGATTTTTAATACTTACGCTTTAACAGTCCCATAAATAATCCCGATAATTCGGTTAAATAACACCCACGGACTGCCGCATTATGATTTCACTGTGAATTGGTCACTTTATTCACCAACTTTCCCTTTTGTGCTCTCCACAATCGTTAGAATTTTATTTTTTATGGGCCGACAGCTTCCGACTATCCACTCACCATGGGAGAATACAAATAATAAACCGTGGTTTATCCTCGCCATCTCTCACCTCGAAGTACCGAGAATGCAATGCATAACTTCAAAGACGAGTAATGACACTCTGGAATTTCGATTATTCACTTCCTGTCTGCAGAAATTCAATGAAAAAATGTTAAACAATTTCGCACAAATCGTAATCCAGGAAAAAATGACGAACAATTTTGAATCGCACGAAAGGAAAGTTCTCTGGATTTTACAGTCTTGCTCGTAGTCTTCTTTTTCGGAATGCGAAGAGAAAAAATAAAAATATCCGAGGGAGAATAGAATTATTATTTCATTTTGGTGGGTGGTGCCTCGGTCTTCGATAAAACAAGGAGAAAACAAGAAATGGAAAAACGGGTTAGAAGTTTGTTTGAAAGAAAGCAGCCAAAGTAGCATGAGTACTTGTACCATCTCCATGAATAGGACGAGGATATCAGTTTCCCCGAAACCTTGGAATCCACCTCACGACGTCTTTCTCCCTCGGTGGCGTTAAACTTGTCCAAGTTTATACCACGAAATCGATTCCCTCCTGGGGGCTTTGATGGGTCGTGCTTTCAACTCTATTGAAGTGAAGGAAAAATGATGGAAAAAAAAATTTTGTGGAAAAGAGAATGGACTCTCGAGGGCACAAGTTACGAGGAGGCAGACGTTTCAGAATTTGAGTTCCAGTGAGTTTAATCCAGGGGAATAATCAAGGGGATAAGTTTGTCTTTCATACAGTCGCCAGTCATCGTGTTGAATACTTTTAACGAGAGTTCTACTTACCAATACATTTTCTCTAAAAAAATATAAATAATAATACCGAATTTTCCATATAATATTATTAATTCCAAATAAAATTCGTATATTTATGCAGAATGGTTATTCTGACTGATTTATGAAGAATGTTCTGCTCTAAAAAATAAAATAAAAATGGTAGAACCGAAAGAGTCTGAAGAGGGGTACGTCGACTGACATCTTATTTTTCTCGTCACTTTTCCGGGTGAAAAATTCTCCCATTGAGAAACAAAAGCGTATGAAAAAAAAAATGCAACATTTTTCCTCCCCACGCTGTCCTATTTCAGTGGTATTTACAACTCCTTCACTCTATTCTGGCTTCTAGTCGTTGTGTCGCTGGAATTTTCCCTCATACCCCAAAAAAGCCACCTTTTCTCGTCTGGCTCCGTCTCGACGGATTCCAACGACGCCTTCTCCCATGTACATCGGCTTTTCATCTCACCCCACCACCCTGTGAAATTCAACCCCTCTCTCTTTTTCCACTTAAACCAAGTTTACCACCAAGTTTTCTCGCGCTTCCTTACCTCCACTGGAGTACTAAAATGAACCTCAGAATTCACTCTCAATTGAGTTAGCTGGAGAGTTGGCTTGGTTTATCAAAATTCAAGGAGATATTTTTCTGGGAGCTTTCGCTGGATAAAGGGCTCACCTTACTCCATTCATCCCAATTTATTTCCATATCCACTTATCATATTCGTAAACACCAAAACATTCCTCAATAAAAAATAACATAATAATTGATTCCATCAATTAAACTCCCTCAAATATGGAAAATATTTCAAATTAACCCATTATTTAAAAAAAATCAAATAAATGTCACCAATATATTTTCAATAAAATCTTCATAAAGGATTACCAATAATCAATTTCAGCGCGACAATCATCTCTCGAAAAGAAAAGGTAAAAATTAAATTAATCCATTTAACCTTCCGCTATCTCCTCCTAAAAATTCACCGAGCCGATGAATCAAAATTGATATCGAGTATCGCGATAATGGAGAATATATGTAGGACAATAAATAAATCGCACCACTAGACCGAAAATGAATCGAAAAGTGCTGAAGGCGAACATATCGGACCCTATCAAACATTTCTATCGCGGTTGCGCTTCCCATACATACTATGTATATGCACATATATATATATTGATGACTGGCGCCGGCTCTTTCCACGCCGCCCCCGTTTTTCGCCCTATGGCGAGAAGATGTGCGCTGGCAATACGAATCAGTCTGTCACCGGACGCCGGAGTGCGCGCGCTTTAAATCGCTATTCCATCATTTCAAATAATAAACACTCCAAAAATCAATTTACCCCATTCATCAATCACTCTCACGCAATTAAACCCGCGGAAACTAAAAAAAAAAAATTAAAACACCTCGACGAGAAAAAATAATTCAGTGTAAATAAATTCACACGTGAAAATTTCAATCGATCAATCGAAATTTTTTATTTTCATTGAAAAAAGTTATTGCTCCGGCGAATATTTATTCAATCATTTTTATTCATCATAGCTATGGAAATTGAAATTAGAATAATTGATATTTGAGTTGGGAAAAATTGAGTGCAGATCAGATAATGGGAGACACGTGTTGATTTGAATTGATTGATCTGGAATTTTTGTGTTGGAGGAAATTAAGGAAAAAAAAATCCAGTGTAAATAGGGAGATAAAAGAGAAATACCCGGGTGGAGGGGAATTAATTCATTGGAAAATTCCGTTTTATTGGGAAAAATCCCGGTAGATTTGTGATGTTTTGGGAGAGATGGAAAAGTTTTCATACAATATTTGAATTCTCCATGGTCGAAAGAGCAGGATTGCTAAACGTGAAAATAATTCGTCCAGCAAACGGTCCACAAACTGTCCCTGGCTCACATCCAGAGGATATGCCCATGCCCGTAAAACAATGCGATTCATTTAATTTCCATTAAACCCTCCCTACACCCACCCATGTCCACCCATCCGTCGTGCACTACCCTCACCGGCTCCACTCGGTCTGCTACCCTTTCCCTCATCATTTCTCCTTCTCCGTCTGTCTAGGAACTAGACTATCCCCTACTTCCATTCCAAGAAAACTAAATCCCGATATCATAACATGTGGCGTATGACCCCGTTATTCCATGGATAAGTCGATAAAACGAATGAAAACGGGAAGATACCAAATATATTTGTACCCACAGTCATGAATAATTGATATATCTTGGGAATTCTATTCAAGTCGGAAATACAATCTGCAGGAAAATCCCTGGGAATTCTCTATTTACCGATGAAAAATTATTCATCTGATTTTTCTGGGACGCATCAAAAATTTTAACGATCGATTTGAATTTTTAATTTCTTGAGAATATAATGTACATTATAATCTCGAGGGAAATATTCCCTCCCCGTACTCTCGAGAATCGATTACAATTTTTTCTTCTTCCACCGTGAGTTTCTCCTCTAATTTATTTTTTTTCATAACTTCCAACTTCTTATTTCCATCTTCGTATCCATGGAAAGGAGAAAGACGTGGGCGAAGTTGCGTTCAAGTGTCTGGAAATCTCGCCTGTAACTCGATTACATGAGAACCATTTTTCCATCCTCGAAATGCAGAAAATAATCCAAGAATTTATCTGCCCCATTAATTATCATATCTCGAAGCTCTTGAATATTTTCTGATATTTATCTACCTGACGATATTCAATAATCTCTTTCGATTGCCCGACGCGTCCGCTTCCTATTGAATTTCCTGGCTATGGAGAAGATATTTGTAACCCAAAATAGAAATTACAATTCAAGAGACAGCGGGTAATAAAAAAATTTTAAAAAACCAGCCGGCATGAATGAGAATTAGAAGCCATGCGGTTTAGGGTTACGCTCAACGCGTGCACGGCAATCAAGGAACACTAATTACCCAACCAACTGCCCACGTTATATCGTACCCCTCCGTTAAAGCCAACGGGTAATTATGCATTTATCAATTTTGGTTTAACAACTAGACCTCCCACCTCTGTCCTTTTACTATCGACTGCGTGTGAATCATAAGATAACGGCAAACCAGGAAAACATTAAAAAATAAAAAGACTGAAAAATAGTATAATCAATCAAGTTGTAAAATTCTCATTCATTCCCTCCAATCAATGAATGCATAAAAAAAATCATAGCTCTAGCAATAAAAGAAATGGGAGAATTAAATCCATTAATTTGCATTTGTAATTGAATTAATGGATCGACTATAAACCAATGATTGATATTAAAGGGTGGAAACCTTTTTCATAAAAAAAAAACGGACAAAATGACTCAGACCCTTACGATACCTTTGAGACAGGGCACGTCCGAGCTGTTGCTATCAACCACAATGTGCAAACGATGTCCAAGGGTAGATAAACCCGTTGGTCTAGCACGTTTCAGGAGCGGATTAGTTAATCTATGATCAAACCCAGTCTTATCTCCTCGAGACCGCTGTTTTTACTCGTAGCACACATGTCCTTGCAATCGCTCCACACAGAGCAAAATTTATACTTCAATTCACCCACGCCTTTGACAATCGAATTCTCACCCATTTTCTATTTAAATTAAAAATTCCCAATCTCAAGTATTTATCATCCTAAAATAATTATCAGCCAACAATGTCAGTCTTTTGATAACGATAATCCCATAGAATAATGATAAAATAATTATAATTATGATTTTAAATACCGAGAGTGGATCGAAAAATGGCAGAATGATCATGGAATTTTTACTAATTGAATAAATAACTTTAATAATTGCGTTTCTTCACGAGAATGTCAGGATAACTTTCCCGATAAATTTTTCAGTGAACATATTCAGCCTTGACTAGCTTGCGTGTTGCACATGCAGATGTACCTTGAGCTCATACTTAACTATCGAAGTATCAAACATTGTAATAGATGGATTATCGTACTGATTCTCTTTGCTTTGTAATTCTCTGAAGGCCTTTGAAGAGGCGGCACCTCCCATAATATTCGGTAATATTTATAGCTGTGCCCTCGCCCACGGGTTATGAACTTCCCTGTCTCGTGGGACGCTATGGTATGCGAGATTGTATCATCCTCCTTGTTAAATTGATCATGCACTGTTCTTAATTATAGACTTCTTAATCGGATCGAGAACGTGACGTGTTTTCAATTAAACGATGGGTGGAACGCTCTGAAAACTCAACTTTTCATTTTATTTCTGATTGCAAATGCCATTTTTTTATACTTTGGAATTGGGAGGGTGTGAACATTGCATCGATAAATTCTGAGAAATACGTATTTACAAAGAGATTATTGAAATTCTTCACGGGATTACCTCCCCCCCTCAACCATTTTAATTATAATCTTAATTTTTCACTTGCAATTACGACGAACTAAACTTTTGGGCCATCTCTTCAGAACTTTCTAATTAATTTTGATTGGAAAATTTAATGATAGCAGTGATTAATGACTTGAATGAAGAATCATCTTTTCCCTCTTTGCATCGAGCCAAGACGGGGCTTAATCGATGAATTTATCCGTCAGTTATAAATATTCTGGTAAAAGTGTCTAGCCCCACCTGTCTCTATTCTTACCCACGACTTCGCCATGTTTCTCTGAAAATCTAATTAAAAAATGGGATTTTTATCCAATAAACTGGCTTCTCTCCTCCAACATAACGCGACTCCGCCCAGTGAGTAATTAACCCGTTTAATTAACGCCCTGGGAGAACGTGCCAAGGCGTCGAGGATGAGTTTCCTTTAACGATCTATCAAATACTTCAGCAAGCACACCCGATTTTTCCAAAAAAAAAAAAACGCATACCGAGGAATCAAGATCATTTCACGCTAGAAACACGTTCCCCTTCAAATGATGTTCAGACTCGTTTATAGTGAATAATTTTTATCGTCGTGAGGGATTGAAAGGAATCATTAATCTGGCACAAAGTGGAATGCAGCTGAATGATGGAGTTATACAACCCGGTTGTCATTTAATATCCCATAATTAGAAACTTCATAATTAACATGGTCTAGTATTTTAGAGGCAGATATCGTGATGCCGAGACTGGAGTATCAAGGTTTATACTCGAAACTGCGTAATCGCTATTAATTCGCGGAAAAAAAAAATTCAAATATCACTCTATCAATAATTTAAATACCCAATAGCTTTTCCCTCCAGACGAACAACTTCCTGTCGATTTATTCAGTTCTACAATTATTTATCTCTGATAAAAATATTATGAATTAATCAAATTGCACCTGTAACTCTATAAAAACATTTTTGAAATGCCATAATAATAATTACCACGTCCTCAAGTATTTTTTTCATTCATGGTAAAATAAAAGTGAAAACAAATAGACTCGAGTGGAGAATTAACGAGCGAGCAGGAGGGCTTCATTAAAAAGCTGAAAATTACTGGAATGCACATGTTTAAAATGATTTTCATCTCTGAGAATTAAGTTTTAACACCGCTGCTCATAATTTGTGATAATCCAGCTTTCCCTCTAGTCGCCGACTAGTATTTCAGAATTTTTCAATGCTAATGCCTCCATTTACATTTTACATTTTACATTTGACGATTAAAAAAAAAATACGGCACTTTATTCTGTCGTGACGCGAGTAGCTCTTTGGAAAATATTTTTCAGTATCTGTTTACTACTGGCAATATTCACCCTGGGGGATGGGGTGGGTGTAACAAACCCAAGACGCCGTCAGGATAATCTGGGTCGTCTGTCCTCCAGACACCCAGGAAACACCGACGGATTTACACTTGGGACGATCCAATAATCTCCCTATCAACCCATCTAAAAACAAATTTCCCATCGGGGGTGACATTCTCCAGACAAATTGCACTTGAAAAAAAATAATAAAAAATTCACAATAAACTTTGACCATTAATCAAATTAAATGAAACATCTTCATTCACATCTTGTTGTAACTAATTAATTTTAATTATCAATCTTCATCTTGATATTATATTATAATTAACATTTAACCAAGTATATAAAATATTTTAAAAATAATGTGCACAGATAAATAAATATTTAACCGGGAAATTCATCGGGAAAAAATCCTGGAAAAAGTCATCTTTCATAATTGATGAAAATGTCAGTGAACAATTTCTTATCTCGCGTCTAGATTTAGAAGCCCCACGAGACGCAAAAAAAATCCCTGGATTATTTAATGAAAAAGTAATAAATAAATAATTTGTGAATTGAAGTGGAAGTACCCAGTGACTCAGGAATTTTTTTCAAACTATGAAGCGTTAGTGAAGAATTAATCAAAGTGGCGGGCTTCACATTTTCCCCCAGCAATGGCTCCGTGGCGTCTTCCGACTGCTACGGAGAACGTTTTCATCGTCACCAATCAATGACCAACAATATACCGCGTATTCACACAGTACTGACTAATAATCATCGAGAAATACCACCTAAAGATATTCTCGATGCGCCACCGAGACGAGACGATTTGGTCTACGTGCACTGTGCAACGACCGAGGATGAAGTTGATGAAGACGAGGAAGAGAATCATGCTGTTTCAATTACTCGATCTTGGCTGTGTTGTCCCAGTGAAAGAGAGAACGATCGAGCTGTTCCTATCCACGTACCAACTAATGGACAGAATGTGAGTTCAGAGTTCTTTTTAGTGGAAATGGGAAAATTGAAAAACCACTTCCCGAGAAAGAAATCACTTTCTATTTGCGATGATGGAGACGTTTTCAATGTCTGCTCGTCAATAAAAGGAGAATCCAACAATGAGGATTTTTTTACAGGCATTGAAAATAGAGAAAATTGAAAAAAGCTATTTATCATTATACTTTTTTGTATAATGTACTCATTTTTGATGAACGAACGAACGAATGAAAAAGGAAAAAAATACTCAAAACGAAAATTCAAAACTTTTCGGATTTTAAATTAGAATTAGGGATCGCTTTGCTATCCTTGTAATGACGTTTTCATAAACAAATCTTTTTTCGTAATAAATCGTTATTAATTGAGAAGATTAAGATATTCTCATTGGATATAAAATATGGAGGCATTAAAATTTTTTCAACCATCAAATTTTCTACGATTTCACTTCCACTCTGATTCATGACGACAGTCATCACTGATTTTCATAAAATCCGCGGATTACCGCGATAAATCGAAATATTCTCTGTCGAAATGCAACAGCGACAGGAATTATTCCCCAGAAAAATTCATAAAACCTTGAATATATTTGAGAATCGCTTCACTATCTTTATAGACTTTCCCATAAAAGATGTGTTCTCCTGAGAAATCGTTCTGTTATTTAAGGGCATGAAGACATTCTGGATGTAATTTTTTATGGATAGGATATGAGGGCTAAGGGCACATTCTTCTGTAAGATAGGAAAAAAGAATAATTGCCATTAAAGTTGGTAAGAACTTGGCTTATCACTTAACTGAACTAGATTCTCCAAATGAAGATCCACCCCCATAAAAAAGAAGAAGCTATAACAATTGCGAAGCCCCCATAAAGGAAAATGTATAGGTATCACTGGGCTATCTTTATTCTCACATTTCCCTGAAGCTATCTGACGTTCACTGGGTCTGAGGGCATAAAAGTACATCTTGCATTGAAGAAGTAAGGGCCCACCTCAAGTCTCACACATAACGCGCTCCACTTTGTGCACACAGTACTCACCATTAAAGGCGACGATCTGGGTTAATGGCTTTTTCCACTGGAGCATCTTCTTTCTCCTTCGATATCCTCCACCCCGTGTAATTCTTAATTCTTTCTTTGGCAATTCGCCAACAACCCAAGCATTCCCCGAATTTATGAAATAAAAAGTTGAAAATTACTGACGGATGAAGACCTTGCGATGGCTTTCACCGGAGGGGAATGGAAATAAAAATGTTTGGAGAAATGAATGGATGAGGAGAAATGAAGACAGGGGGATAATGGCAGGAGGTTGAAGTCTTTGGTGCACTGACCGCCAGCTATTTTGATTGCTGAGCTCCAGCAGAAATTTCTATCCAGCTCCAGTGAGCTCACGGAAGCCCAATGAAATCATCTTCTTTATGATTTTCTTGTGCTCCAACCGAGCCATCCATCTTTCTGCATTTTTTTATGTTACTGTATGATTTATCATTCTTCCGGAATGCTACCCTTGCTCCACCTCTTCCAGCCAACGAATAAGCCCTCGGGGTATGGGCACTGGGTATGAGAACAATTTCATTTATGTCAGCGAGAATATTCATTTGAATCGGATGAATATTTATCACGAGCTCGGGGCACTCAACGATTTAATGAATTTATTTGGTTGATGGATTCGAGTGACAATGTCACGTGTGGGAAAGCTTTTTCATCTTGTCACCTCGAAGATATTCCATTGAAATTTTCCAGTGTAAATCCAACGAAACATCAACGAGAATATCACGAATAAGGTCACCATCAAATCGCAACAATATCACGTGACATTTGCACTGACCTTGTCTCGATAGTACGACGCATCAGGACGACGAAGAGTAATTGGATATCCAGGGATATGGCCTTAGCAGGCGGCAATTTACCAGGGCATGTATATGTGGGTCTTCTGTTTGCCCATTGGCAACACCCGATGGGACACATCCACCTCGTCCTTCAGACGTCTCTCCATTATCCAGTTTTCAATCTATCAAGGTCTCTTTACACTGGGAATGTCATGAATTCATCCTGGAGAATTGTGAAATTGGTTTGGAATTTTTTTTTTACAGAGAAAAAAAAATTGAAAAAAAATTGAAATTCCCTCTGTACCTGTCTCAGAGAGACTCTTTGAACCCTCCAGAGTTGACGTGCCCTAACTGATACTCGAGGACAACCATCAATGCACACTCATTCGGTGTCGAATTATTTTCAGCAATACCAATCGAGGTTTAATTAATTTTAGAACGAATTTTCACTGAAACTATATTTATTTTTCTGTTGTTCCTAATTAATCGGTATTTCGGACTGAGAGTGAGGGATTATTTTTTGCCACAAGTTGGAACTGGGTCTGTACCACAGGTTCCGGAGTTGCATCTGGGTGGAGCCATCACACAGGGTCTACCATCTGGACAGGGTGGAGCTTCATTACAGTTTTTTCCAGGGAGATGGATATAATCATCCTTCTGGGCGACGCAGACCATCGAGAAGGCGACCAGAATTATGGCCAGAGTCAACACGACTTGTTTCATTTTTTCGGGCTGGAAAATCAAATAATTCTGAAGAATTCATTCACGCAAAACTCGGAATATGAAATTACTCCGTCAATGATATAAAAATATTCGAAAAATATTGATTTTGGATATTTAATATTGATTTTTAAAATGGAGAGAACATTTTCCATGAATATTATTATTTTTCCCAGGCCTATGACATTTTACAATGACGGGATAAAAATTCTACTGTACTTTTGTGGCAAAAAAAAAAAATAAGTCACTCCTTGGCGACTTTCCTATTGAAATTATTGACGCGTTTTTATCACTGAACAATAATCGTTTCCTACAAAGTCCCGATGTTATCCAAGTTGGATAAAAATTACTCACTTTTTACCGTTCACCAAGTAGGTCAGACCTCACAGAGTAATCAATAATATCTGAATTGCGGAGTGGTTCATCGTTGCGTTTTTATCGGGTTGCCTCCTACTTCCAAAAGAATTTTCGCATGACGCAGAACGACCGACACGCTATGCTGAAGGCCAGAATCATTTACAACTTCTTCCTCGCATTAGTTTATTTCATTTTATTTTTTGCTTGTTTGTCGTTGATCATAACTCTCGATAAGGCGTAATACCTGGGTGTAGACAATTCCTGTAATTGAGATGTATCGGATCCGCATTGTTTTTTGATCTGGAGCTGTGAGAAAAGGAACTCGAGATTGAGGCATCAATTTTCGTTAATTTGAGTAACGCCTCGCACCGGAAGCTCATTATGCAATTTGCTGAAGGCTCATTTGAATTTTATTGAGCAATTTGTACATAAGAGCAATCTTGAGAATATGATCATCGTCCCACAAGGAAAATACTCATGGTTTCTCGCCAATTAGATTAATCAATGTATCATGCCATTAATTCAATTGCTAAAAGGCAAATGGTAACAAGTCGCTTTATTTAACCGTCCAATTTTCGACGAATATCTCTGAATCTAAAAAAGTGAGCGAATTTTTGCAAAAGACCTTTATTGTGATTCTCGATCCACTCTGCAGATAAGGTCCTGATGTAAATTAGGCTAGCTCAATTAGATTCGGAGGTATTCCTCAAAAATCACTTGACAGCATGAAAAAATTTTCGGATATAATTTCATTGGGGCTGTGATAGCTTTTTGAAGGGAGTGATTAATTTTTTTTTTTGCCAGCTTCATGCGGCAGCGTTATCATCCTTGAGATCAGAGGTGGCCGAGCTGAATGCCCGTCTTCTGTCGGCAACGAGGGCAAAAGAGGCTGCAGAAGCATCACTGATAAGAGCGGAGGCACAGGCAGCTAGGGCTGAACAGAGATCTGAACAGCAGTCAGCCAGGCAAGAGGAAAGACTCACTGAGCTTCACTCCGTCATTGCTGAGCTTGGGCGACAGTTAGAGAGACACAGGGCAACAGTGATTGCCGAGGAGGATGAGTCAGGCACGTGTTTTTTATCTTTACTCATCTTTTTTTAATCTCTCACTCTTTCAATTGTTCTCTGTGCTCCCAATCCTAGGGAGCTTGGGTCGAGGGGATATTAAAAACTGGGAATTCTGGAATTTCTGGCAGCTCGACAAAAATCCAAAATCATGAGATTTGCTCGAGCAAAAGTACCAGATACAACGGCAATTGTCATTTAAATAATTATTCCTCCAGAGGTAGAAACGAGTAGAGATGCGGAGGGATCGATAACAAATCCAGTGGAAGAATCGGAAACTGGTGGAGACATTCAGGGAGATGGAGATCGTACCCTGGGCGATGCGGACTCCAGTGAGGACAGAAGTTGTGGAGATGAGATCTCAACTCGTCAAACAGAGGTAAAGCTTTGAAAAACCCGACTGGAAAGTTCTATTTATTCGTCATGGGGGGAAAGAAAAAGAATGAAAAAGAAAACAGTGTTTTTCTTTGCCAAACAGAATGATCGAGAGCAGCTGGACAGCCCTGCGGCTCTTCCCACCCCCGAGCCAACCCAGCAAGCAGCCTCGTGTCAGAGTGTGGCTGTTGCTACACTCCAGGAGGAGGTTAATGCACTGAGAGCTGAAATTGCTACTCTCCAGTCTCAACTTGCGCAATTCAGGGGTCATCCTGGGCAGAATAACCACTCGGGTCATCACGGCAGTAGCGATTCACCCCGTCGGGATCACAGGGTACGCCCACCTGCTTGATTAACTAGTTTTAATTGCGCAATCAACGACCAGTTGATTGCATAATCCTGTCTCTCAGTGGACAACGCTCACGAATGGCTTCTATCATGAATGATTTTAATCTGGGATTATACCCCAATTTTGCCCATCGAAAAATATTGAAAAAATAAATCCTGAAATTATTTTCATTTATTTCAGATTTCTATTTGACGATTCAATTATTTTTTCAATCAATTCAATTTATTGTCGTTGAATGTCAATTTGTATAATTCCAGAGAGGAAATATTAGCTCTCCGGAGCCTTTGACTGCCCCCTGCTCGCCCCTCCTACCCCCTCTGCAAACCCCTCCAACGAAAAATCTCTCCCGAGAGGAAGTTCCAGTACTGAAAATGGCGGAGAGGGTGAAATTGAGGAGAACGGATGAAAGACACATCACTGGACCTGACATAACAAATTTGGGAGTTTGCTCGACTATGGTAGCTGAGCACTTGGTCTCCGATCTTCTTGATCACTCCAATCTCCATGAACTCAACGGCTCCGAGAAGCAATTTGAAGTGGAGACCGAGAGATTGAACAGCAGACTGGAACATGCCAGAGCCAACAATGCTGTCCTTGCTCTGACCCTTCACGAGAGTAAGGCTCAGTGTGACAGGTAATTCCATTAAACATTGAAGAACTTTTTTGTATGTCCTCCGATATTTTCCCATCAAATTATATTTCTTCAAACTATCGATTGGAGACAGAGCCAAAATTCCAGAGCCAAAATTTTTTTTTCATTCGACTAATGAATCGATCAATCGATGAACTGCCCTCAGGTTGAGCCTGCTCGTTGGAAAATACGAGTCCAACGCCACAGCCCTGAGGCTCGCTCTCTCCTTTTCGGATCGTGCCATCGAAGCCTACGATGTCCTAGTTGCATTATTAGAAACCGAGATTGCGTTATCGTCTGACAGGAACAGTGTTACCATTGATAATCGACGAACAGCTGAGAATGTCGCTCACCATGTGCTGAAGCGGCTGGAAAATGATTGTGCAACGCTTGGGGCACCGTGGGAGGACAGTATTATTTTATCAGACGAGTGAGAATTTTTTCTATTTGATATATTAAAAGGATCAATGGTGCATATTTCAATTGGTGCCTTTGAATGAATAATGAATGATGATAAAAAATGTTTTATTCAAAGCTCCGAGATTTCTTGGTCAGTGGACGAGGAGCAACGACTCCGTCGTCACATTTCCAAGCTGAAGGGTGACCGAGCGATGGTGAGATCAACAGCAGTGGAATTGGAAACAGTTCACGTGGAGCCAATCAACTCCAAAAATACAATTTCCCTGGCAGAGGCTAGAAAATTGGACCTCGAGACAGCAGTTCTCATGCAGGAGCTCATGGCGATGAGGGAGGACAAGGCAGAGCTTCGAGCCCGGGTATTTCTCCTCGAGAAAGAACGTGCGACCGTTGAGCTCAAGCTGAATGCACGGGATGCACAGATTGCAGCGCAGCATGCTGCTATTCAGCATCTCCAAGGGCAGCTGACAGACACCGAGGCCATGCTGGCTATGGCTGGGAATAAGGAGAGGGTTGTCAGTGACTGTGAGAGTGAGGGCATGGAGTCAGAGCTCATTGAGGCTTTGGGGAGAGAAGCTAGACTCAAGGATCGACTCCAGGAACTTGTGGCGACTCTGGAAAAAGTCACGAGGAACTCGGAGTTGCGGCATCAGCAAAGTGCTGAACTCGTTAATGACTTGAAAATGGCTAATGGGTAAAATTAAAAAAATCATCACCGCAATCTCTGTATTTTTTTAATTTTTCTTCTAGCCTTCTAATTTTTTGTTGACATGAATTTATTTTTTGATTTACAGAGCCCTTGTGCAAACACTAGATAAATCCAAAAAGAAATACCAATCGAGACTGAAGAAGCTCGAGCAGCAAATGATAGCAATGGTGGAGAGGAATGCATCTCAGGTACATAATGACACTCAATAAAAAAACCTCACAAATATTTAATTGTTATTAAATTAAACATCATTTTTATTCAGACACTTCAAAAAAACAGACTACCACGTTCTGACAATATTAAGTAGTTTGTGGTTCTCTCCTCCTATTAATTTCCTCTTCGACTAGTTTATCGAGGTCGTCCAGTGGTCTATAATAAATGTGAACAGTCTGAGCCCCTGCAAAGGCTGACAGCATCGCAGCTGTCAAAAACCTCAAATAAACGCCCCAACCCACCCCTGAAGGCATGTTTCCGATCAAAAGCCGTCTCTGCCACACAGAATAAAATCTTCACTTCTGTTGCCTTTCCTGGATCTCGAAAATGTCACTTAATATCTCAGTTTTTTTTCCACCAGATCACTCCAATCAATCCACAAATAACTTATTCAACTGATTCTTTACACTGAATGGTGCAACCTCTCCTCGACGATTTCCTCTATCCTCTTCTTCTTATAAGTATTATAAAAGTTAACCTCTCCAATTTTCCAATTGATCATGGAAAACTCCAAGGCAGCTCCTGCGATGAAAAACACAGGTAGAAATCGATAGACACCGAAGAATCGTTTTCCAGGAAACTTCTTCACTAGTTTTCTAAACGTTTTACTGTACAGTATCATTTGTCAATGATTTTTTATAATTTTTTATTCAACACGAAAGTCTCAGCGGGTGGAGTTCGTTTTACAGACGTTGCCATCTTGAATTATGATTAACGCGCATATTCCCTGCGCACGTGAATATAAAAATACTATCAATGTCAATTAATTACAAAATTATATTACTTTCAGATAATAATTGTTTATTTTTTTTCATTCATTCATTATTTTATTAGTAAATCATTCTGATTATTAATTGCGTGTCGTGATATTATGATATTAAAATTTTTCAGGTGAAACTGTTGAAACAGAGAATAGGGATGCTGGAGGAGGAGGCAGTTGGGTACAAAGGAAGTCTTCCCCTGCAGTCCCAGAGCTCAGGTGCCTCTGAAACATCCTTATGACACTCGTCAGATCGTGACGATTCCCTCGGATAAGATCTCATAACTCATACTTTCCAAATAGTCATGTAAACCTCGCCTAATCAGGATTGAATGTATTTTTCTACTCAATCAACGACACAGAGAAATGCTAAAGAACAAAGAATTAAATCCCAGAAGCAGCTTATCCGCCTAAACGACTGAAATGAGAGAAAATCCCCGCTTTCATTGTACCTCGATGGTATTTAATAAGAAATGGTGCGAGTTTTGCAGAAAGAATTATAACTAATAGATTTTTTTATTCTTTGAGTGAATCTAATGAAAAGAGGCATTCGCCAATCATTTTCTAACGATTAAAATTCATTTCATATTTATTTCAAATCGTTCATGAAATTTTCTTTGTAAAGAAAAATGGATATGAATTTTGTGATTGGCGTTGAGAATTACTCTTTCGATTTCAATCAGTCAAAGAATTTTCTAGCTTCTTGTCAGCTGTATAGCAGTGTTATGTAAATATGTATATTGTAATCGAGGCAGAGAAATGAGTGATACATGTAGAGTTATTAAATAAATCGTGCTTTATTAATTTTTACCGTCTTATTCACATCCAATATTTTTTATTTCCCTTATCTAATTAATTTGGTAAAATTCCTATTGAAGGGAGTCACATGGATTAGTCCTGCGGATCGACATTTCCAATTCCTGGGGCTTCTGCTGCACTCTCCTCGGGAATGTCTGGCTGGAGTGCGTCTGTAGGTACATCAGTCACTTCGAATCCCTCCTCTTGATGTGTCCTGAGCCTCTGGAGTTCTTCCTCCAGGTGGGCACATGCCTGTTCAATTTCATAATTCTTTGACACCAGACCTACCCACTGGGCTTCCAGGGCTCTCAATTTCTCTCCTCCTTGGGTCTGCATGGATTTACGCTGCCAATTAACCTCTTGGATTGTTTTTCTCAAGGACTGGATCAGCTTCTGTGCGTGGCTCACCATCTTCACGAGAATTTCCAGGTGAGATTTCCAGGCCTCACATCCGTATTCCATCATCAATTCCAAATTACATATTCTAGAGAAGAGAGAATTTTCCATTTTCAAAATTTCGTATTAAAAAGTTCCGTAGAGAGTGAAAATAATTTAAGAGTATATTTCAAAAATGAGGTACGATAAAACGATATCGACGAGAGCAGATTAATTGACTCGATTATATTTGATTTTGTCTCAAAATAAATCTCACCGGGTGGCCTGATGTTCCAATTGTGCACTGCTGTTATCTACACTCTCATTCCATGCTGCAAGGTCATTCATTTTTCCTGGAGGAGGTGGAGGAAGTTCGTATCGCTTCATACTCAGCACCTCCATGGGAATTCGATTTTGCATTCTCTCGAACTCGTGTTTCATTACATCAGTTTCGAACGCTGAAATATTCAGGGGTGGAAGATGCTCCAGGTAATTCTTCGTGGGTCTGTACCTTCGTGTCTCCTCCTCGACCATCGCCAAAGCCTATAATTTTATCAAAACAAATGGAAGTGGCTTAACCTGAAAATTAATAATTCAAGTTAACTCACCGCTTCTCGGACTCCTGGTTCATCGTATCCCTGGTCTATGTAAGGAAGTGCATCGACTACCACTTCACCAGCCATTCTTTACTAATTACCGATCAAAAATCGATTTCTAATTTACAACACTTAGGAACATGAATAATTGTTTGCAGGCGTAAACAAATTGGCGCAAAAGGTGAAGGATGCGTTCTCATGTGAACGTCCATGACTCCGGGGTATGCCGTATGCGTATTTGAGCCGACTTGGCCGGCTTGGATCGACGAGGAGGTGATTTATGGATAATTATCGAAACATCAATTATCATTCTCATAAAACCTTCTCAAATGCATTTGAAAATGCGAATTTCTTCGATCTTAGAGCAGAACATAATTTTCCAAATGAATTAAATTTTCCCACTCACGATTGACCTAGTGTGTCACGTAGTGGTGCATCCGGTATGCGCGACAGTTGAGTCGCGCGGTTTCCGCTTACGTTCTTCTTCCTTTACGGCCAGGTAAGGCGAGCAAGCTGCCTGGTTAGAATTGCGTTGTTACGCAGAAAGTGGTAAAAAGCCACGAAAATGGTGAGTTCCTCGATAATCAACATTCTGTAATCTCTCCTCTACCTTTCTGAACAATTATCACTTAATTATTCTTCCCGGGGAACGTTATTTCGTCGTTTGAAAATTCCATCTCACGAATGCAGTGTTGACCACGTGTGACACCATCTTCTCTTACCAATTCCACCTCCTTTCACTGCTTTTCATTCTGCAAAATTAATTTCCCTCATTTGTAACCGTGAAAATTAGCGGATCCAGTCGTAATTTACGGTTATTCGCAGGAGGAGAACAAAATGCTTCGGTAAGCGCGAGGAATTCTTGAATTGAGGTTGCGGTTTGTGTCCGCCATGTGCATGTCACTGGACCATCCAAGAAAATCCCCCTAGTTCTCCAACAATTAATTCGTCAGTCACGTGTGTTCCTACTTTCTTTCATTAATCATTAAAAACAATAAATTTCATTTAAAAAGCATTTTTTTTTGTGAATTAATTGAAAAATCATTGGATTACCGGGAAAAAAAATGAGTTCATAACCGATTGGTTCTAGTTAGAGTCCTCATAATTAAATGTGACCATCAATGAAATTCTTGAAATATTCAATTTAATTTTCTACAATTTTTTCAGTCGCTCTCAACAGCGCGACCTCTCGTTTCAGTGTACTCTGAGAAGAGTGAGGCAACTGGAGACACAGTGTCTCTTCCCTCAGTCTTCAAAGCACCAATTCGTCCCGATGTCGTGAACTTCGTTCACCAGCAGGTGTCCAAGAACAGCAGGCAGGCATACTGCGTGTCTAAGGAGGCTGGTAAGCATTGGTTTTTCAATTCTGAAAGATTGCTTGAGGGACACATGAAAAGAAATTGATTTACAGGCCATCAGACCTCCGCTGAATCATGGGGTACTGGTCGTGCTGTCGCTCGTATTCCACGTGTACGTGGTGGTGGTACTCATCGCTCTGGACAGGGAGCATTCGGAAACATGTGTCGTGGAGGACGCATGTTTGCACCGACTAAGCCATACAGACGCTGGCATCGTCGTGTCAATGTCAATCAGAAGCGTTATGCCATCGTATCGGCAATCGCTGCTTCTGGAGTGCCTGCCCTCGTCCAATCAAAAGGTACGATTTTTTTTTCTATTAATTCCATCGAGAAGTCAATGGAATGAAAGTATTTGTACCTAAAAATTTTTTCTAAAAAATGATGATACGCTTTTGGTCCGTGTTTATGATATCCTCTGATTTAAAAACGAAAGCTTTGACCTGAAATTTTATCGAATGAATATTAATCGATTGAAGCGTTGAATCTTGGGGAATTATCAATTATTCAATATTTAGGACACATGATCCAGGATGTACCAGAGTTCCCACTAGTCGTCTCCGACACCATCCAGGAATACAAGAAGACGAAACAGGCTGTCGTCTTCCTTCGTCGTATCAAGGCTTGGAATGACATCCAGAAGGTAAAAACCTACACGACTATTTGATATGAACTGTATCGACTAGCACTGTACAAATGTCCCCATCCTGTAATTGTTTACTCGGATGGTCCAATCAAGTGCTAGATAAACATGAAGACTAGGCGTTACAGACTCAAGTTTCATAATAAGCCTGTGACATTGTCTTCGCACACTATCCCAATCCTTCGAAATTTTTTTTTCCAAAAAAATTCAAAAATAAAAATTCGTCGAAAATATGACTTACGCCAAATGTAGCAATTTGTGGAAATAATGGGTAATTTGCTCTCCAGGTGTACAAGTCCCAGCGGTTCCGTGCTGGCAAGGGAAAAATGCGTAATCGTCGTCGCATCCAGCGTCGGGGACCTCTGATCGTGTACGGTTCAGATAAGGGCATTCGCAAGGCCTTCCGCAACATTCCTGGCGTCGATTTGATGAACATCAACAAGCTGAACCTGTTGAAACTTGCCCCTGGTGGTCACGTCGGTCGTTTCGTCATCTGGACCAAGTCCGCCTTCGAGAAGCTCGACGCCTTGTACGGCACGTGGCGTAAGGAGTCGAAACTCAAGGCTGGGTACAACCTACCCTTCCCCAAGATGTCCAACACCGATCTTGGAAGGCTCCTCAAGTCTGACGAGATTCGCAAGGTTCTCAGGGCACCCAAGTAAGATCGCAATTCCAATTAATGCATTATTCCAAGTAATGCAGTAGTTGAACTTTCATGATGAATTATGATCGGCTGAATTTGGTCCGTCTTGCGGAAACCAAGTGATTAGATCCCTTAACCCCCTGAATCAGCTCGACAAAAAATAAGACTGAAATAATTTCTAATCAATCTCTAATCTCCTCTTGAATATTTTTTATTTAGGAAACAGGTGGTTCGTTCAGTGAAGAAACTGAACCCACTGGCTAACACCAGAGCCATGCTGAAGCTCAATCCCTACGCAGCTGTCCTGAAGAGGTCAGCGATCCTGACAGCCCGCAGACGTCAGAGAGAGCGCGAGCTAGCAATCGCTGCCAAGCGTGGTGTAAGTTCAATAATTCCCAGGCGTTCATAAAAATTCATCGAAAAAATCCATATTCAACCCTGAAAAATAAAAAAAAACCTCCCAAACATTTTTATGATATTCATGATGATATATTGGTCCGTGTTGCTGAACGTCAGTGATTTAAACCTCAACCACTTCTGACGATTACATTTCGAAAATCCCAGGGAATCGTCAAGAAGAAAAAACATTTCTCACATTGGTTTTTCATTTGTTGCAGATTGAGCTGCCAGCAGACGCCCCAGCCATGAAGACGAAGAAACTCCTGGAGAGGCGAGGGAAGCAGATGCTCAAGGCCAAGGCAAGTAAACCGAAGAAGGCCAAGGCCCCCAAGAAAGCTAGCTCTGCTCCATCGAAGGCAGCCAAACCAGCTCCAGCAAAAACACAAGCAGCATCCAAGGCCGCTGCCAAAGCTGCCCCCAAGAAGTAAAAAAAAAAGCTGCCTTGTACAATTGAGATAAGGAAATAAAAGATTATACAAAAAAAACGAGCGTCTTGGCTCCATTTATTTTTACTTTTAAATAAAACGAAGGAGGACAACTTCACTAGATCATTATTTTTTCATGAGATTTATTTTGGCATCCCGAGATATATCGGGGCATGTTTCAAGTTCTTGCTCGTTGCTCTCCTCTTCTTACAGTGGAATTTTCCCAACTGGTGCACGAATGTAAATTGTACCTCCTCCGAAAACTTCCACTGAGACCAGTTGAGCATTCGCCTCAATTGGAATGAAGAAATTTATGTTTCTAATCGCGTTGGGGTTTTTCACCTCCTGCAGACGAATATTTAGTACGTCGTCAGCTGCTAGGGCTGCTGTCATTACTTTAAGACCCTCAATTTTCATCTCAGTCTGGAAAATTTTACACATTTGAATTTGCACCGATTAAGGATTGATTTGCTAATGTAATTTCCGGCTGTTGTTATATCCTTTTGTGGCTTTCCGTTTGGAAATTGAAATTCCTGGAGATATCCCGACGTGTGGGAGAAAATACGAGGGATAATACATTTTCATGGGTATAGAATGAGAGGATTGGCGACATGGATTTTGTGGAGTAAGTACACCAGATTATTTAAATTCCTTTCTCTTTTATGCGGCATTAAAGGTGGAGCCGCGATTATTTGTGATGATTCACGGAAATTTTTAGTCATACCGGTACGTGTAAAATTTTTTCCACTTGGTTATTTCCGAGATAATAAAAAATATTCGCAAACAAATTCTAACGGTGACTCAACGATTGAGAACGAATCAAATTTAAAAGCTCAAAGAATTGCAAGTGATTTGAATTAAATGAGAAAAATACGGAATTTAATTAAACATAAAATTAAAAAATACTGAAAAATATCTGGTATTGGATAATTGAAAGGGAAAACCAGTGGTACTTTTGCACAGAGCAAATTTTTTGTGGAAGGAACACAAACACACAAGTATAGAATCACCATTCGCTGAAATAACAACCCATTTTTATGACCGAAATTGTCATCACCAAGTGGTAAAGTCAGATGAGTAGAGTTTACCATTTACCATGATGGATCGATCTCGAAAACGTCAAGAAAATTTTATGGAGTTGTTTCTGGACTAAAATACATTATTTTACATCAATTGATATATAAGAAAACTGGGAAATTCAATTTAATCTTACTTTAGCACTTGGCTAGTAAATTATACGGATTCACAATGATTTCCTTGAGCTATTGACGTTTTAAAAAAGTTGAGTGTCAATTCTGCTTCACCTGCTACTCATTCTCTCAGTGTACTTACAGCGAAATACGATTCCTCGTCGATCAAATAGAAGTCAGGGACTCTGGCAAATTCCAGACGAGTTTTAACTCCATTCGAAACTCTCTCGAAATTCAGGTAATCACCCTTACGAAGGAACACTGAATTCTCGAGGCAATGCGAAGGAAGAGTCATTATTACCCTTTAAATTTCAACCAAATTAACACCGAATTTCCCGCCATTCGTTTATCTCATGATTAACAAATTCTCCAATTAAACCATCAATTTTCCGTTGAAATAATTTTTTAACCGATAATTTCCAAGAGATCGAGACTCAAAAAACAACTAAATCCACGAAAAAATCCATTGGATTGAAAATTCATTTGTTTTATTGGAGTATAGAGATAAAAATGGAGGGTTTGAGTGAAATCGAAGTCGATCAGTTCTTGCAATAATAATCGCATCGAGGTGCGTGAATAATGAGAGTTCGATTTTTGATATCGTAATTAGCCCGGACCCTGTCTCCGTCGTAATCCTCAGGAATCAAAAAATTTTCCACATTTTTTCTCTGAACTCCCGATGATTCTTTAACCTGTAATGACACATTGCACTGAACTCCCACCCTCAGATTATTAGATTTGACAGTTATTTTCAGCGTTGAAAGATCGACCACTTCCGACAACAGCATCTTCACCTGTTAATAGATATTCGTCACTCTCAATCGTGATAAAAAAAAAATTAAATCAAGATGCGAAAAATATGAGAAAAATCGGTTGACCTCAAACTCGTTGTCGTGCCTCGGTCCAACGTTGATTATTTGAAAAACAAATGGAGTCTGACAATTTTCCATGGGCACTGCTCTGAATTCCACTTTATTCAATCAATTTTCCGAATTTTGTACGTAATTCATTAAGTCGTAATGAGGAAATGGCTTTAATCAGTGAAAAACCCCGGTTATTCGATTGACTGGTTGAAAACAAAAGAGGATCAGTCGACAATTTGTGCGCGGTGCAGTCCAATTAATTTAAAAGCCACAAAAAAATTCATTGGGGGAAATTAATGCATGAGAAAATTCAGTGCTCATCTTCCATTTTATATTGTGGTGTGTATTATTTTTTTTATGAATACATTTTGGTTTTTCTTTTGTTTATTTTTTTTTGTGAGGGAGAGGGGGAATTTTTCGGTTGGACGCGTGCGCGAGTGGGTGGTGGGTGGTTGGATAAAGAGAGGCGGGAGATTCCGGGGGGTTGCTTGAAAAGCAAACTCCCGATTTCAGTCGAAATCCCGTGTCCTTGGGAATGGTGTTCCACGGATTTGAGTGGATTCAAATGTCGTTACTACGGTTAGGATTTCTCGCTGTTGCTATCGGTTGTGGTGAGTCGAATAAATCGTTTTTCCATTTATTTTTACGAATTTTTTAAATTTCCAAGCTTTCAGGATCATTCCGAAACCAGACAAATAATTTTTACAATTAATTATACCCTAGATGTTTTTACTTTTACATTTTTTTTTCACCCCAATTGATACAATTTTTATTTCTTCGTTAATGAATTTTTAATTGTTCAAATGATTAACTACTCGTTCATCTCGGGGATGAGATGTTCAGAGATGAGGTCTTTTGTACCTGAAGAAATATCTTAACTCGACGCCTCGACTTTTCTGATTGCCGATCTATTTTGAAACGTTCAACCGCTTGAACTCCACAGAATATTACAGTGAATTTAATTAAACATTTATCTCATTAACTTTCGAAAATGTCATCAGCATTAATCCTGAATGTCACGAGATAATTATAACCCCCTTGAAAATCTGGTAAATGTAAATGACCCCAGTGAGTGTTAAAGGTAAACGTTGGAAGTGATAAATCCAGTAGAATATGGGGTTGGAATTTGGGTACAAAGGAGAGCCGTGTAATCCATTGATTATGCACAGCACACCCAGAATTTAATCCTGAACAGTCTCACCCATGACTCCAGAGCCATCATTTTTTCATTTGATCATCCCCACGAGAACTCCCAAAACTTGAGGTTAAATTTTAGTCTAAAGATGTGAAAAGGAGATGAATACCACGAAACTTTGAACGATTTCCAGTTCTCCAATAGGCAAATAGAGAAGGAATACCCAAAGTTTCAGTAGCAGATGCTCTCAAATGTATATAATTGCTGAAATCAATTTTCGTGATTTCAACTTCAATGCCCTCGTGAAACTAGACTAAATTCTACTGAATTGCATCAAAAGAATGAAATACACCGTAAATCTTAAATTGACAAATTAATTTCAAATTTGTAATGCAATTTATCATTACGTTAAATCCCATTATTCATCAAATTGTATTGAGGAAAATACTTTACACACAATTGGATAAAATTTGATATTTGCTGTCACAACTTGACAGAGTCCCTGGATTTTCATGAGTCTGAAGGAGAGGATATGAGAAATAAAATCGAATTTTCCTCAAGGTTGAGGGGATGTAAAACGTTGAGGTAAAAAATCCGGGATTTTATTAAGTTTCAATTAATTCAATCGTCTTCTACATCAAACAGCTATTATCATGATTGAGAAAAGCCTCTTAATTGGATCAAGATATAGACAGTGGTTGTGAACTTAGCGTCTGTTGCTTTAGGGCATTTTGCCATTGGAAATTCACACGATTTGCATATTGAGGGAAGGTGAACTGTCCACTGGCCCTCATCCCTCTGGACATCCGTGTGTTCAACGATCGAGTTAGCCAATTTGACGGCTTATGAAAAGCTCTATCCACCCACCATCTCCAGCATTTCGTATCAATTTTTTTAAATTCAATATGTCCTTCGTTCTTTATTTTCAGTCTGTTATTTTTATTCCTGAATTGACGTCATTTTTCATTTAACAAGTTTTCATTTCGTTTCACTTTTTTAATTGCACAGCAATGCAGTGGAAAAATCCTCTTCAATTATTTTTTTTTTATTGAATTCTATATATTTCATTGATATAGTTCGAACTTTTTTTATTTCACACTTTCCATTTGACGAATGTCCGAGTGATTCGGAGAGCTTCAGTCGTCAAATTCGACGATCAAATTGCGTTCATCAAATTTACAGAAATTCGGAGGATAAAATTACGTTTCACAGAGCATTTTACGTTTTACATGTTGGCTTGTTATGAATGAATAAACGAATTGTTGAAACTCGTGGATTTTATTTAATTGGATTGTCGGTGGGAAATCGAGTTCTGGTGGGACTTCGATTTTCAACAAATTTATTGGCGATTCGAAATTTTTGTTACTCGGTGAACAATTCACATTAAATTTCCGTAGGTTTTTTTCATATTCACTGAATAAAATGGCGAGTTAAGTCTCTGATAAGAGCAGATGGAGAGTGCAGTTTTGTTTTTGTATCTGTTTAGAGAAGTGACTCGGAACTCCAAGAGCTTAAATACGAGTGAAACGATAGAATGTCCAGAGACTGGAGGTCAAATAGAGCTTAAAAGGAATCTCCGATGTGCAAACGTGGATTTTACCGGGAAAAATTCCCAAGGGCATTGAATATCACTGATCAATAAAATGGCAAAACCCCTTTGAAGACAATAAAAAATTTTCTTCGATAAAAATTTCCATTTTATCCACAATTCTCCAATTTTCCAAGTTAAATCCACTCTTCAATAAATAATCTAATAATGCAATTCTACATTAAATGAAAAAATCGATTCGATACATTAAATAAATAATTTGAATTCATTCCATCCGGACTTTTTCCAAATTTTCAATTAAAGTTCTGAGCGCGTAAGAAATGAAAAACGGAATAAGGGATATTGGCTCTTGTTTTATTCATCAAATATTTTGTTTGAGAATATTTTTAACACAGGGGAAAAACTATATTGAGAGGTGGGTTATGAGAGGATTTGATATAGCACACTGGAGAGATTCACCAACGAATGTGCCACGAGCAGCATCGACAGGTGTCTTACAACCGAATGGGACTTTTTTCATTTCGATCACCAGCGAGCGAGAAAATGGGGGTGAAATCTTGAAAAATAACTTGTTTGATTGGCGAGAGAGAGAGAGAGAAAGAGAGAGAGAGAGAGCAAGACAATGGAAAATTGAGTTACATACTTTTCTCATATTTTTGTTTCACCCTCCGAGTCTTTACTCTCATTTCAAGTAAAAAATATCAGTTTGTGTCTGGATTTATCTTCTCCTGACCAGGGAATGAGATAAATGGAAGGGATGATATTGGCTGAAGCCCTAGTAATGCCTCCACAATAGTCACTGAATGATTACGGATTTACGTTCAATTATTATCATTTTTATAAGTTCTACAAGATAAACTCGATTTAATTACAAATTTCAAGAGTTTTTCCATTTTCGATAGTCCTATACACAATTTTCTATACCCCATCCCCTTTTAATAATTTTTTTAACGACGAGGGGATATCCTCGGGCAATTAACACTCTCCGATTACAATTTTAAACTGAATTAAAACTGCCACCGAAATTTCATATTTCGGAGTTTAATTGAAATCCCTGAAGTTACGGTTCATGCAACTTCAGATTCAGGTGAAAAATTGAATGTTTTCAGTGGAATATTTGACATGTTCAGGGGAAAAGAATATCACATATTGCGTAATGTGATATTAAAATTTGTATGCCTTCTCAATTAAATTACGTAAAAGAGCTTTCAATCATTTTAATTGCAGACGCAATAAAAACAAATTGAGCTCTCAACCATTCAGAAAATTATTCTCAATGATTCGTTGAGGTTTAAAAGCTGCATCCAGTTATTATGGGTTTTATTGTTGTGATGACGTTAATTCGGTTTAATTGTAGTACTCCATTTCTTTTGGTCCGTTTAAAAAAAAATGAGCAAGAGAATCTCATGTTCTTCACATTTTTTTTTTCTCGTCGTGAGAGGAAAATTATTTGAGACGAGAGTTTACGGTTTAACCTTGTTCCATTTTTTAATTAAAAACGTGAATTATACGAATTAAATGCAATTCTAATTGTAGGTCGATTGGATTGCATGAAACCTAAAATAAACATTCAGGTATTTGAATAATAATGAAATTCTCATTACTTCCGGAAATTACTCCGTACGAATTCAGTGGATTTATTATTTTCTATGAATTCATTATTTTTCGTTCAATGAAGTGATTTAAATGGAGAGATTAACTCTGGAATCAAATAACAATTTTTAATCAAATTAAAAGGACAGCCGAAATTTTACATTTGGAGATTTTCAATTAAAGTTCGAGAGGTACTTTTGCCTGGAGCTCTATCAGATATTATGAAAATAATTTCAGTATTTAAATGGCTAAATAAACAACCGTAATAATCAATTAAAACTCTGATTGCAGTGAGTTAAATTTAATTCCGACGAATTAATTTATTTACATAACAGGATCAAGTGAAAATGTGTCAATGGGAAGTGATAGGTCGATCGATATTTATTTCTTTGATGCTGCCATTACAATTTTACATCGTCACACGCTATAAAAATACATACAAACACCGGAAGTGATAGTGATTAATTTTTTTCAGCCTCGTGTTCCGAACAGGAATATCGATTAACAAAACATCTCCTCGAGGGTTACGATGCGGGTGTCAGACCAGCGAAAAATTCATCTCAACCGCTGGTGGTGATTTTTGGCCTCTCGCTCCATCACATCATCGATGTGGTAAATTCTCCAATTTTAATTAGTCACCAAATCACGGAATTCATCAATTCAGTGGGATTACTCGTTCCACCGTGATTTTAATTAAAAAAGAAAATTACTGCAGGACGAGAAGAATCAGATTCTCACAACGAACTGCTGGTTGACGCAGATCTGGACTGATCATCATCTCAGGTGGAATGTCTCGGAGTTCGCTGGAATACAAGTGATTCGAGTCCCTTATAATCGAGTCTGGAGACCCGATACCATTCTTTACAACAAGTACTTAAATTTATTGGCAATTTAAAAAAATAATACACTCTAAACATTCCCATCAATTTCACCCAAATTTTTCAAAAAACAATTCTTTAAGCTCCATTATTAAATTCGGTTCAATCAAATTGTTCAATTAAAAAATACAATACCATTCCACAATATTTAAATGTTGTAAACGAATTGTGTTTTTCACTCCACAATACGTGAATATTAAATTGATCTATCTATAAATCTCGTGGAGTCCGACAGGACCTGTCATTCCCCAATCCTGTACTCGTCAGGAGGAACTTTTCCTCGTGATTGTCCCAACGATTTTCATTCATTCATCATTCATCCCCATGGATTTCACGTGTTCTTCTCAGTGCAGACCCACAGTACAGCTCAGCTGTCATAAACACAAATGTCATCGTAAGTCATACAGGTGAAGTTGTGTGGCTGAGCCACGGAATATTCCGGAGCAGTTGCAACATCGACGTGGAGTTCTTCCCCTTCGACGTGCAGACATGTGCATTAAAATGGGCATCCTGGACCTACGATGGATACCAGGTAAAATAAATAAATCCTAAAACAGGTGCTCATTTCTCATTGTCATTTTTATCACTCGAATAATTCAACTTCAGCCATCACCATATTTAATTCGTTCATTTGATGATCATAAACTCCAGCGGTTCACCAGCTTATCCGCAGAACAATTTCTCCAACTCGCGAGTAACCACCGAGAACCCCTCGAGATCCCTCCGGCAAATTGCATCTCCAAATGATATCCACCGTTTTACATTTGATTGTTCTCGCGAGAAAAAAAAAAATTGACCTTTAGTGAAGTTGACCCTCAACCCTCAATCCTAGATTCTCGTTTTTATCCTGACGTTGCAATAAAAAAAAAACCTATAAATCTAAAAAAATTACAATTCTCCCATAAAAAATGTCGTTCTCCCCAGAATTGGAGAATTTTCTGAGGTAAAGATAAAAATAAAAGAGAAGCATTCAATATTCTTCAACTTTCCCAGTCCAAAATTGAAAAAGAATCCCACAAAATCCCAACTCGTCGCCACTCTAATCGTCAACGAATCTGACGTTGATGGCCCGCAAAAAATGGTCATCTCATGTATCCAAGTGCTTGGAGTCTAATAAAAAGGCTCTATCACCACTTGAAGCAACGAGATGGTCGCAGTAGAAATTTTCCTACTTCATTTAAGTTTTAAACGAAAGAGTTGAAGCGATAAGGGGCTCCTTTGGAGTATCACCGAGGCGAGAGAAAATTCTGCGGGTCTTTAAGGCACCCACCAGCCCCTCGATCCTAAGACAAGAACAAATTCGATTGATTGCAATTTCCCTAATTCCCCCGAACAATCCCCCAGCCCCCAATTTTTCTTTTTCTCCCCTCGAAAGTTGAGAGGATTTCACCCCTAGAATTCGTCCCTCCCTTGCTCATGAGCAACATCATTAAATTAGATCAGAGGGACTCCTCCCTCCTGCTCCCTAATTCTCATCTCTTTATGTAAGTGAAATGGAAAAATTTAGCCATAAAAACCACCGAAAAGAGCGCATCTGTGCGAGATTGTATAGCTTAATCCCAAATGGATAGAAGAGACCCGAATCACCACTCGAAAATGGCTCAACACACATTCACACATCCAAATCCAATGTGCATGTCATTTTTTCTTTACAATTTTTCTTTTTCCCATTTCAATGGTGCACCAACTCCCAATTCTATTACGCGCCAATTTTTCCCTATCAATAATGCAACGAGAAATATCGATATTGTTCAAATTTCTACCCACATTAAAAGAAAATAATTCAATAATTCAAATAGGAACTCTTCACAGTGCAAATACCTCAATTTTCCTCTCCAATTTGTCCATCCACTCCCAACGCTGAAGCAAAGAAGGGAATCATGAAAATGATAAAAATTCGGTGTGAATAAAACGTGAGATAAATACAACTAGTCTGGTGGTGCATATGGAGTATTATTATCTTGTGGAAAAAATGTTAAAGCTGGAATTGGAGCGTCAGAGCGAGCAAGGGGATGTGAGCAACTACCAGGCAAACGGTGAATTTGATCTCGTTGATTTTACTGCACGACGTAATGTGCAATACTACTCGTGCTGTACTGAGCCTTATCCAGACATCACCTACGAGATTAGACTGAGACGTCGACCCATGTTCTATGTCTTCAACCTCATCCTACCGTGCATATTGATCAACGGAATCGGTTGAGTATTTCGTTATTTTACTCTTGAATATGAAATTATTATTCTGCTCGTTGTCTCTCCCCAATTTCCTTATTTTACCCGTTTATTGTTCATTTGCTCCATAAGTTACTGCAACACTGAGATAAAAAATTATTTCAAAGGTATTTATTTAAAGCGCCTGAATACTGAAAAATTTCCATATCGATCGAATCGGTTGAGTAGTCCGTTATTATTAATTCTTGAAAATTATTATTTTGGGAAAATGTATTTATATTAACAATTAAAAGTCGAAATAATTCACGTAAAATCTCTATTTTTATTCCGTAGCAAAGCAATAAATGTTTATAAATTAAAAAAATATTATACATATTTGCGAATAAGGTCGCGCGAAATGACGAAAAATCTCTGGAAAATTTATTTGACAGTGGAGTGCAGCTTTCAGCTCGCGTAATCATTGCATGACACTAGTTCATTTATTTATTTTATGATACGATGGGACAGGATAATACGTAAAAAAAAAAATGGGGTGACAAAATTTAACACGCGTATGACAGTATCTCCTTCCGTTAAATCGGAATTTAAATCGGAAATAAAAAATTTATGATACATTTCCGACGTTTCTCCACTTAAAGTTCAATTCCGATTCGATTGACAATTAAAAATGATTATTCTCTCTGATCTCCGAAAAGGTGACACGAGAATAAAATTTTTTTCCCGAATTTCGGAGTGGAATTCGTTAATGGCCTGTGATGGGCCATTTCGCACTGAATGTCCCACACGTGGAAAACTTTGTGGAAAACGTCTGAGTGAGAAATTTATTGTTTGAGGTCATGAACTTGAGGTAAAAAATGGTAAAAAGATCATGCAAGTTCTCCATTCATTCATTTGCCTGTTTCTTTGATTTATTGTTCCCTGGAATGTGCATTCCCACCTATTGTTATTCTAATTCTCGCGGTGTTGTAAAAACAAGTAGAAGGGGAACAAGTGTCGTAATAAAAGACTACCCTTGAAACCACGTAACTTTTCTTTTTGAGATGGATAAAAGTGGAATGAAGGAGCTGATAAACTCGTTAACGCCGGATGTGCCTGATGGTAGGGTAGGGCTTTGAATTTCATTACGACAAGACCCGGAGAAATAATTTCAAATGATTTGAAATTGTTTATGGGAATTCTTTTATGAGGAGAGTTAATGAGGGATAAAAATTATCGCAAATGATATCATTTGAAATTTTTCACTTCACAGATTTCAGGTGATTACTCTTTTTTTTTTTCATTGATTTTGTGGAATTTTAATCGAGAGTGACACAGTGACTTCACCAATGAATTGCCCCTCAGTAGTTCGTTGTTTCGTAATGTTTCGGGGGTTTTTATATCGTTTCCTATCTTCTCTTCTGATTCAGCGCTTTTGGTCTTTTATGTGCCGTCCGAATCCGGAGAGAAAGTCACACTGGGGATTTCTGCACTTCTCTCCATGACAGTTTTTCTCATGACCATCAGGGAAACTCTACCACCTACCGAGAAAACTCCACTCATCAGTGAGTATTTACATTTATTCCGGGCGATTGCAGTAATTGAAATTCGGGGATCATCGCTGAAGCTTGGATCCATTTGAAAAAATTCATTCATAATTATCAAATATCCAACATCCACGTAAGAAAATCGTCTCAAAGGACAGTTGGTCCAAGCAAATACGCTGTCCAAACAGAAAAAGCAAATAAAACGAAAATGTTTGTGATAGTGATGGTCGTCTATCATCTCAACTTCAAACGTTCGTTCACAAACGGATTATTCTCATTGAGGACTTCCGCTGGAAATGCTGAATGTGGAAAAATCACTGGCTTGCGTAATGACGTTGGATAAAAATTTTTTAAAAGGTAAAACTTCTACTTGAAGGTCTCTACTACGGAGTGAGCATTTGTCTAGTGTCCTTCGCCTCGGGTCTGGCCGTCGTCACCCTGAACCTTCATCATCGCGGGGTTCGTGGCACAGGTGTTCCAGCTTTTCTCAAGACTTTGGTCTTAAGAAAATTGGGTAGAATTCTGTTTTTCAATTTCAAACAGGTAAAGTCCATGCAATATATATTTTATAAATCATGGTCCATTGTTTTCTCCTCTGAAAAATTGAAAGTAAAAAATTATTATTACAAATTATTTTCAATAATTTTCATTGACTTTCATCTCCAATGTGGAAACAATTGTAGAATCCTCATGTCATTCGTTATATTTTTATAATGATTAGTATCTGGTTTAATATCTCTAATCAAGAAAGAGTCAACTTCAACTTCGAGTCGGGAATCCACTCAATCCACTCGAAGAAGACAAGCCTGTCCACTTCACTGCTCTATGGAACTGCAGCAGACGTCTCCAAAAATAGTGACAAGACGCTCAGACAGTAACAACAGCAGTGCCAGCATAGGTAAACATAAATTAATCCAAATAATAGTTCCATAAAATTTAATTATTGTCGTTTTGTCATTTCTATTTATTTCGAATTATTGTCAATTCCATAGACCTAGGTGGAGAGACTAGCCTGGAGCTCCACTGGTCTCGTATTCTGACTCGTGTACATGCGACAATCGAGAGAAATGAGAGGAGATTGACAGATCAGGATAGGAGAGAACAGGCCGAGCTAGAATGGAAGCAAGTTGCCCTAGTGAGCGATCGGGCATTGCTCTGTGTATTCTTCCTAACGACTGCCATCAGTACAGCAGTAATCCTCTGCGGTGCTCCACCCATCGAAGAAGCTGCCAAGAAGGGCTAGTCTCCCCCCGAAATTCTCATAAATTTTATCGTCAATAATCCTCAAGTTCGATGTAAATATCAATGAAAAATAATTATATAGAATCTCATGCATATTCATTATTCACTTTGCGTCATCAGAAATCAAACGCAACAATAAAATGGATCAATACTGGAGTACGATAATTTCGAGTCAATGTCTTCATCGAATCCTCATCACTCCACTTTATTCCACAGATCGTTGGAAGGACGAGGGGCAAAATAGACACTTGACATTTTTTTCAAGTGCGAGAATTCCATTGAGTTGATGAAATCAATTTTTTTCCTGATGAGAATGTCTTCTTCCCTCCGTAATGAAGATCAAGCTCAATTCAAAATAATCCTAAAATGTTTTTTGGGGATAATCCAGCAAAATTTTTATGTAAATATCTGAAGTATCTGTCTTGCTCCAACTGCTTTTATTTAATAGGTTTTTTGAGATCGTTGATGTTTTGTGGTTTTTTAAAGGGAGAATGTCGGTCCTTTGGGTTTTTCAGGAAAGGACTCTTCACTCCATAATTCCCACTCAATTCACCGCCCATCCAATCCCCACCATGCATTCTCTCTGGTGTCCACCTATTGTAACCGTGCATGACATTTGGTGCTTGTGTAGTTCCAGTGAACCACGATTCAGCGGCTTTTGCAAGCATTTGCAGGGAAGTCAGTCTCGAATTCGCTACGAACAGAGAGGGAATGAATTTAAAGATAAATACGATGATTGACAAAATAATGAGCGCTGTAGTTCCACTTGCTGCTAATGCTGGTACGAGACAATTCTGGGGCTGTGGCTGAGGGTGAAAGCCCCACGGATCGTTTTCAAGATTATAATCAAGCCATGGGTCGTCGGCGTATTCATTGTTATCGTGTACTCGATAATGGGAGTGTACAGATGGATTTTCGTGGCTCGAGGCTTGAGGACTCTTCAGCTTCGGTCTCGTCAGAGAGAAAAAGTGTTTAACGGGTGATAGCGGCGATACCACTGGTGATTTCACAGCTCCACCTGATTCTGGAGTACCTTTGAATGAATCTTCTATGTATTTTTGAGATATTTTTGCATTTTGTTGCACTTAAAATGTGGTTTTTCATAAAAAAATTAATTCTCCTCATACAATTCACTGGGATGAACTTCATATCTTTTTTTACTTACTAGAAATATTCTGATTCCACCCAAAAACCAAATGTACGTCGAGAAATATGGTGAGTAATAATAGAACCTCCATTATTCACGACCCGAGGGATACTAAAACTTTTACCAGAGGATTTTCTGTGATTGACATTTCAATTAAAATTTTAATTTAAAAAATAAATTACGAGTTTGATAAATGGCTGAATACAACTATCCAGTGATATTATCATGATTACTATTTTTATTGGGTACTTGAAATCCATAGCACAAAGAAATGATTATCACTGCATAAATTCATAATCTCAAGTTTGATTGAATTTTCCATGCACTTGGAATTAATTTAACAATTCAACGCATTACACCCAAATATTTTGGTAAAAAAATTGAAGAATATTTTTGTTCCGTCGTTAGTAGTAATCAGGTACTGGTGCACAAGCGATCTTGACAAAGTCCTCGTACTTCACGTGCCCATTGAGGGAGACGTTGGCCTCTCGAAATATTTGTTCAACTGTGAATCAACAGAACAACAATGTCTGAGTACTTGAGGTACTTGAGGAATCTCCGGAGGAGTGAAAAACGAGAATAAACACCTTCTTTGTTGCTCAATCGTTCACCCCAATTAAGGAGCATGTGCGCTAATTGTCTGGCTGGTATGGTTCCACTTCTCGAGGCATCACCAGCTCTAAATGCCTCAATCACCTGCTTGGGGAGGTCTTCAGCTCGTGTCTGGAGGTGCATCACCTCCAGAAAATCAGCGAATGACATTTTTCCATCTGAATTCATCGGAAGATTTAAATAATTTCTTTATAAAACAACCGCTAAGGGTAACAAATCCTTTTTTCGGTGGAAATCTCTCAAGTGAGAGAACAAATGAGTAAAAAATTGAGCGGAACATACGAAGAAACTTCAGTTGAAAAATTGAACTGAAAAATGGAAACACTCACTCTTCTCTTTCAGATATTTATTCAACTCAGCAATAGTGGGACTGAGTCCCAAGGACCTCATGATGATAGTCAGCTCATCCAGAGTCTTGATCTGACCACTGCGAGCAAACAGGTAAAAGCACTCGCGAAACTCTACGAAAGAAAATCCCTTATCACGTCAACCGAAAAAAAAGAACAGTTACCAGTCACACCCATGACAACCTCAAAACTCACCATCGATATCCTGCTCCCTGAAGTACCTGGCCTGAAAAACACACCTGAGGAATTAAAAAAGCCCCACCCTGCAGGATAACACAAAATAACAAAAGAAAAAGAAACATCTCTCACCATTTCTACTCTCCCAAGCCTCAAGTTTCACGTTTTTTCACGTCTACTCCGTAAATAACGTACGTGTCACCCTCACCTATCTCCACCTGTCCCCCTCCACAGACAGCTCTACAAAGCCTCTAGACCAAAACATGAAGTTAACCTCGAAATCCATGATGATTCCCTGGATTTTCCAATGAATTTCCCTATTTCCAGGATTTCCATGGCCCATCTCCAAAAAATGGTCTCAATGAGAGAATTCGAAAGACTTAAAAAATAGTGATCATAATGAGGCCAAAGATTGTCGATCTATCGACGCCTCTCGAAATATCGAATGATGGCTTTGAAATGTTTAGCTGACCCCTCCAGTTCTCTGTCAGAAAAAATAATTGGTGAATACCGTGAATGCCTAGAGGATTGGATCAGTTCAGTTGTGCGTTTGTACTGATCGCGTGAGGTTCTCCTGCGCAGGCTCCGCAATCCCAACCTTTTGTGTTTCCATCAGCTGGTGACGGATCCCATTGTGATCACAATATTCTTGGCCATCGGATCAAGAGGAGGAAAGAGTCAAAGACACCCTAGTGCACGATGAGGTGTCGTCTGCCGAAGGGATAGGGAGTCAAATTCTCCTGTTCATCCTGTCCTGGGCATCGAACAAAGGCGGTGAACAGAAGGTAATTTGTCACTTGGCTACTCTCCAAGTTATTTTCATCGTTTTGGGAATTGGAATTTTCATCCAATCATTTAATTTACATTTTTTCCCGACGATTTTGGCACACGTGGCTATCCAAGGACGTTCATTGTCTACGCAGTTCATTAATCACATAATTTTTACGATTTTTAGAGTTATTTTTTCTGTTTGTGTTGGGGATCAAAGGGCGATGAGTTGACAACGAGGTAAATTATTTTCAAAACAATAAATTATTTGCTACTAGTGAATCTAAATATATTAATGTGCAAATGGGTGGATTTTTGAGTCGTTAGTGAATTTAATTGGATGAAGGAATTTCATTTCTCGTCGCAGGCTCTCGGTTAATTTTAGGGGATTAGAATCTGCCAGTTGTTACCATAATCGTCGCGTGACAATTTCATTGGCATGTGTTGTCAATTGGCAGGACGACGGGAAATAAATTATTGCTGTGTGATTCGTGATGTTGCAAGTTCATCTCGTCCTGTCTAGTATTCATTGATTCTGAAAGATCTTTCGGAGAAGGTCATGGGTTGTTATGTAAGATGATTCTGTTGAGATATCAGTCGACGTGGGGATATTATCAGGGAAAATGTACACATGCGTATATCTGGAATCCTTCACTCCATAATTGATAAAAAAAAATGGCATAAAATGTGATTAAATTCGCATGGAGACGTGAAACGCATCGTGTCAGTTTTTATAAAAATATTTGTTGTTGAAAATTCAGTTTTCCTCTTGGGAAAAATTCAAAGCCGAAACCAAATCTATCGTCATATAAATTAAAATGGGATTGAAATAATAAACTCAATAAAATTCATGGAACAAGGCAATATCTATTGTTTAATCTCGAATTATCTCAGTTTTAAAATTATTTCGCATGGAGACAAGTTTATTTTTTTTGCGGGACAATTGCGCGAGTTTACGAGACGTGACAGGGTGGCATATGTTTATGAGTAATGAGTAAATATTGAGGGATGTCTTGCGAATGACGATGCAAATTCATTGATACGACTGAAGTCGCTGTTTGATCGATATTAATTTCGCTGAATGCTTTTGAATAGTTCAGTAATTGAAAACGCAGGAATAAGATAAATTTCCATTGAAGCGAATCGTGAGTGATAACAGCAGAACTAGTTGGCGACATCAATACATTTTAATGTTTCGTCCTTAATGACACAAACAATTTGCACTTGAAGCAAAGTACATGCGACCCGTAAATTTTTTATTCCCGCAATTGACATTTTTAATTAATTCACGAGTATTCAAGTGAAAATGAGTCTGACATGTCTCATTCGTTAATATCTTTCTTTGCAATTCACATAAGCAATTCTATTCTGTTCTCAGTTTAACGATTCGTATCTCTATTTTTCTTGAAATCTTTACCCCGATTTTCACTCACTGTTTTTTTTGTTTATAGAAAATAATTTATTTGTCAATTTTTTTTTAATTCATGGCGATTTTTCTAGAAAATCATCATTATTAAATGTATTATTAATTTTTAATCGACCAGAAATCCTTAACAATAGAAAAGTTAAATTTTATAATGATCTTCTTCCGCCCACAAGTCACTGGTGACTACTCTGATATTTATTGATGATCTAAAAATAGAAAAAGGGGAGGGTCACTCACCTATCAATGACCACAACCGTCAGTACAGTCTGTCAAAGATTCCTTATGAAGGTAAAGAGCAAAATTCCATCTATAAAATCATTATCACGAGATTTACCCCTACAATTGCATAATTCTCCCTCAACAAATTCACGAGTGATCGACTCGCAAACAAGACTATCTTATCAAACAATCTGGAGTGCCCAAAGATTCCAGAAGAATCTGTTGTTCAGTGCAGGATGAACGTAAACAAAGTGCACTCCCAAGTGTTATTTTTCACACAGGGTCTATAAATAGAATAGACTCAGCATTCTGTCTTTCTCCCAAGGCAAAACCTGTTCTGGAACCCGATGTGTTTGCCTGTGACTCAAGGAACTCCCCTGTAAAATTCGGTATTCACGTCATTTTTTCTCGATCATTCATTGATCAGTGATAATAAATCTGGATGATCGAACTTAATTTCTTCGAATCGATCCAATTGATGAGGTTCAATGCCGCGGTTTGATGGAAAATGAACAGCCTGGACTGAAATGGACTGTCAGTTATCAAAATCAATGTATGAGATAACCATAATAATTTTTTTTTTAATCGAAAGTGTATCGGAGCGCATGATGACATGCGAAAATTCTCGGTACAAAGTTCATTGTCTCCTAGGTTAGTTATTTTAATCTGTTGAAATTGCAGAAATCGTGAATGAGAGAGGAAAGAGTAAACAGAAGGGATCAAGGAGGTGGATGAGTTCCATTTCTTCTCCCATCAAGGATTATGAGTGGACAAATATCTGCTGGTCCTGTCGAAGGCAGCAAAGCAGTCCTCGAGAGGATTCAGGTGTCCGTCATGACGGGTAATGTCAAGGGCAACGTAACACCAGAGAAAGGCAATGAGATTGAGGTAAATGGGTTGTGAAATTCTTGATGAATTATTGTGTGAATAAAGGAAGCGATTTTATTCGATTTTTTTTTATCGCAGACAACAGAGAATCATTCAAAACCAATATCCAATGTCCAGAGGGTCTACACCAGTCTTTTGGCAGGGGCCATTGCTGGGGCCCTAGCGAAGACAGTGATTGCTCCCCTGGATAGAACAAAAATTAATTTCCAGATATCAAAAATGACTTATTCACAAAAAGCAGCCATTGATTTTTTAATTCAGTCGTACAAAAAGGATGGATTGATGAGTCTCTGGCGTGGAAATAGTGCCACTATGGCGAGGATTGTGCCTTATTCTGCCATTCAATTCGCATCCCATGAACAGTGGAAGAGGATTCTTCATGTCAATGGACCAGACACGTAAGATTTTTGGTTATGATCACACCATAATCCATAAGTCATTTAGAAAATACCTCGCACATCCATCTCATCTAATTTCTGGGCTTTATCATTTTATTATTAATCAGAAAACCGATTAATCGACTTGTGGCTGGATCTCTGGCTGGTGTGACATCCCAAAGTCTCACATATCCCCTGGACATGGCGAGGGCGAGAATGGCTGTAACCCAGAAGGCAGAGTACTCGACTCTTCGTCAAGTATTTGTACAGATTTACAGGAATGAGGGCTTATTGGCTTTCTACCGAGGTTTCTTCGCGACAATTCTCGGTGTTATTCCGTATGCTGGATGCAGTTTCTTCACTTACGACACTTTGAAAAATTTCTTCAAAGGTTAACATTCATTTTTTCGTTCATTGGAATGGTTGTGAAATCGGGGGAACGAGAATAATGGTAATTTGTGCAACAATAGACAGAGAAATTACTCCTGGACTGTCAACTGCAACCTCGTTGTTCTGTGGAGCAGCTGCTGGGGCTGTTGGACAGACTGCTAGCTATCCTCTAGACATTATCAGGAGAAGAATGCAGACGTCAGCTGTTAGAGGGGCTTATTATCACACGAGTATTTCTACAGCTGTTAAAATTTATCGGTATGTAGTTTGTAGTTTTTTTCCTCAATATTTATTCAATTAAACTGAACAAATAAAAAAAAATTTTTTTAATTATTTTTTCATATTTTTATTTTGAAAATTATTCATTCTAGAAAAAAATGTAAAATCGGTTTTTAAAATTGTTTTTGGAGATCTTAAATACTCGATACATGTATTTAATTTCATCCCCAGGGAGGAAGGAATTATGGCGTTTTACAAAGGTCTCAGCATGAACTGGGTGAAGGGCCCAGTGGCAGTGGGTATTTCCTTTGCAACTCACGATACTATTCGTGATAACCTGAGGATCTACTTGTCAGGTTAGACAAGCCAGAACTGTTCGATTTGTACATAAAACAAATAATGCGTACGACGAAACGTGAAGAAAGTATAATAAAATTGATATTCGAGTCGATAACTCAATGAGAGAGATTTATGCGGGCTACAATTTTTTTTTATTTTCCGTGAAGAGTGTTGACTACTGGAGAATTCTAGACTGGATTCGAGTGGCGGTTAGGATTACCTGAGAGGTCTCAATCATGTTTGAAATTAGACTATTGTTTGTTAACTGTGTCTTCATACTTTTGCTTCTGGGTTCATGATCTCGGTTCCCTTCAGCTTGGCCTCGGTTTTTTTTACATGAAAATACCAATAACTGCAATTTAGACAATAATGTTTACAATCTTTCATTATCAATGGTTTTTAATTAAATAAATTTACTGTGAAAATTGTCTCTGTCTCGTGCTATTTTCTAGTGTCTTTCGCGGTCGTGATTTTTTTTCAATAAAAAATAAATTGAATATTTTTACAAATCATCGATTGCTTATTCACCATCTGAATGTGAAATGATAATTATATTAAATTCGTGAAAATGGGATTGAATGGAGTTGGGAGAATAAATCGAATGTATATTTTTTAAGAAATAATTGTCTCCAGTTTATTCACCAGTCATTCAATATCGTTCATAAATTACCGAATTAATTTTATACAATTCCAGAATTGATGGACTTGATAAATTCACTCAATCAAAGTTCGTTATTATTTTTTAATTATTTACCAGTGGGAATCGAAGTAATTGGCTTTTATTTGGGTTTCGTTTCCTGGTCATTGACGTATCTGATATAAATTTCGTTCTCGTCTTGATGATGGGAGGCGACTTCATTGGGATCTAAGAAGGAAACACCGATGGCTAGGACTGAGCCATCGTGACTGAAGCTGAGAGCAGCCACTCCAGCATTGTACCTGTGGAACTGGCAGAGTCTCTTCTTGTTGAAGCCATCCCAGATGTTGACGTAACCATCTGAACCACCAGTGGCAAATGTGTTGTACGTTGAGTGGAAGCTGATGGCATTCACCGGATAAATACACTCGATATTATTCTCTTTTATCCTGTGACATTTGAACGCGTATTTCTTCTTTTGGGCCTCTGGGGTTGTGTCCAGGTATTCCACTGCTACCCTCCCTTCGATACTACTGAGCACATACCCCTGGAAATAAATAGAAAAATTGACAGGTGATGAATTTTTTTTCTCATTGATTAAAAAATCATTTCTCAATCTCATATTTTTCATTTTCAATTAAACATGGAAATATTATTGAAGTAAATATATTATTTAATTCACCTGTTCATTTGGAAAACCTTTGATACACCTAGTCTGATACTTCAGACTGCTCTCCCTCCTCTGGAACATCCCAGACATATTCCTCAAATCCCAAATACAGACTTTCCTCTTGGCAGTACCCACGACGAATTTGTCTCCACATACAGAGAGTGCGAGAACTACGTCTGGTTGAATGTAAGTACCAACACAAGTCGGTGATCTTGTGTCCCATAACTTGACAGCAGCATCCCAGCCACCAGTTAATATTGCGTTAACTGTCGAGCAGTATTCGATTTTTCGAATTGCATTGTCATGGGTGCCCATTATGGTCTGGGTATTCGCGTTTATATCATACATCTTCAGGGTGTTGTCGAGACCTCCACTGTATGCGTGAACTGCATCCTGGAAAAAATAAAATGGATATATTTTAATAAAAATGGATTATTCTATAACTTAAAGGCTGAGAGGAAAATATCTTCTCGTATTTTATTGTAAACCCTGAGAATAATTACCTGGAAGGCAACATCAAGTACTGGAGACTCGTGATTATACTTCAGTCTCATCGAGTTCGCATGGATATCGTACAATCTCACAGAGGAGTCCCAGGAAGAAACTAGTAGAAATTGCGTCGAATTGGGACCAAATTCCACCGCTGAAATTGCATCAGTCGGTGGATTTTTCATCTTAAACTCCGTCCTCGACTCCATTTTACTTGAAATAATAACTAGAAAGTCAATAAGCAATAATCCTCAAACGAGCATTAGCCAGCCTTAACCTAAAAAAATAAAACTCACCGGTAATTACAACAAAACTTTACAAGACTTGAGCCGAATAAATTGAAATAAAAATCCGCTATTTGTAGAAGTTCAGGACTTCTTCAGTCAAAAATTATCTTACTTCACTGTAAAAACGTATAAATCCGGACTGTTACTTAAGGTTTTCAAACACGACAACCACCATTTCTGTTTTTTTCTGTTTTGAACGGATTTATTCCTTCGGAGGCCCCACGAAAAACGAAATCAACGATTAAAGAATTGATTATTGATCTCACAACATCGATAATAGATTTTTTAATTATTAAAAAGGTTCGGATGGTTCGATAGAAAAATTGTTTATGTTGTTTGAATCAACTTTGGGGCTGCAGTAATATCCAGACATCAGCCAATCAGAAAACACCTCGACTGAGCGCCACATTTCAGTCCAGAAATTGATGAAAAAAAAATCCTGGAAGACAATTTTATTGGAAATAATTTACCCAGGAAAGCTCTCGAATTTGTCTGGACAGATGACCCCGACAGGTTGAACAGTTAATTGAGGTAAAATTATTCTCCGGGTCATACTCATTTGAAATCTCTTGCTCTGTCATTCTAACTGGATAGTAACTCGAATACTCAAGGCATCCCATGTTCTCCTGATACATTCCGAGATTTTCAATGCCCAAATCTACGAATGAATAAGGGGTACCAGCCCATCAGACTCAATAATTCAGATGTTCACGTTCACACCCCAATTTTCTGACGACTGCAGATCTCCAAATATGAATTCCCCCCGAATTCAGAATTTTCCAGTATTCCATGTATTCGATTCAATATTAATTGAGTTCCCTCAGGAATTTCCCCGAATTTCGCATGTGAATTTCGTGAAAATGGGAATTTGTTGTTATTGCCGATTATTTTTTCCTACTGGAAAAAAAAAATATGAGGAAGACGTGGCAGAGGGTGCAGGATAGAGTTGTCATGGTCATCGATTGAGGAATTGTTTCTGAGTAAAAAAAACGGCGGTTAACAACGAAAAGTTGAATATTTTATGCGTTTCCTTCGGGATGACCCAATCAACCCCTGAAATCTCGTACTGTCCGGCCATATTCCGGGCCAGAAAATCTTGCATCCCATCCGGAGAATATGAAAGACGAGGAGGAGCATCCAGGGTTCTCAATTAATTCACCAATGTCTCTCGACAAGCACCAGGATACCATAATCATTGCAATTGCAACTCTTCAAACGATGAAAATGTACTCGACTGGCAATAGCTGACAAACCCCGTAATTTCACTCATAAATTCCACGAAATTCCAGTAACTCACGTAGTGAGAACAGTATCTCGGTGATCTCGGAGGAGATCATCGGGTTGCTGAATGATTTCCTGTTATCCAACGACGAAGAGTAGAAAAAGAACTGGAGTCATCGATGGAAATGCCTTTCCATAAGAACTTATTCAGCATTTGAACTCGTGCCAACTCCACCGTTATCATGTTCTCTTGGTACAATCCGAGATTTTCAATGCCCAAATCCAAGTCTCAATAAAGAGGAATAAACACAGTAAGGCAAATGGCGGTCCTAGATATCATTATTCGAATGATAAAAACTCACCCGAGTCCCCCGTATTCCCTCTTTTCCCCAAATTTTATTTTTCACCATTATGAAACGGTCAATCGTCCGTTGCACTTTTGCTAAATGTCTCCTTCGTGCTCTACCCTCTCCATCACCACCACCTGTCATGCGGTTTTTGCGTGCAGCAAGCCGCGAGGTTATTTTTTTTTTTTCCTCAATATCTTATTTTCCAGTCGATGCGTTCCCATGTTGACGCACCGCGCAAACACTGGAGATATGTTTATCATCGGAATTTGTTATCAGATGGGGGAACGAAGGCGGGAAATATCGGTGATCTACTTTGAAATGGAGGGAATGGTGGGCGGATTGATTGTGGGTGGACTAGAATTGAAAAGACCCGCGGGTGAACCTCGGGCCCGCCGCAATTTCGCCGACAATCGACCCCTTGGAGTTTAACGGGCGGCCATATTGCGGTCCAGAAAATATCAGTTTGGATTAGGATAACATGCGAGACATGGAGGTATTCATTATTACAGCGCATGACTTCAGGTGGCGTAATTACCGGGGAATCTCTTAAAATGCTCCCGCTCAGATAGTCAACGAATGTCTATCACTCATTTCTCAAGGATCACGTAAAAACGATTTTATAATGCTGTCTGTAATAAAACGAGCAGTTTTTTATGATGCGCTTCACTGTGTCGCGAAGTGTGATAACGACTGAAAGAAAGAAAAATTCCAATTTGTTATTTCAATCATTTTTATGTGAGCCAACGCCATCTTGTGTTCATCCAATCAAATAAATGAAGATGTAAGTCATTACTGTATGCAAAAAGGATTGACTGAAGTGGAGGCTCAGCTGCATCCTAGTACTGCACCCCAAGAGAGGGAGGGCGCCACACGCAATGCTGGGGTGTCCACCAAGTCGACGGGGTGAATTTTAGGTTCTGCGGCATGAATACTTTTTGTTTTTTATTTGTTTAACTGAAATTTAATCGACTGTGGAACGAGCGAAAGGGGGAAGCCACATCTTGTGGAATTTCAATGAAAAAAGTTATTCAATATATTGAAGATATACCACTAATGA